GAGTTACCTACAGTTCAACAACAAATTCTATAAACAGGATTCAGGTTTACCAATGGGCTCACCCCTTAGTCCACTTTTAGCAGACATATTCATGAACAACTTGGAGACCAAGATAGTAAACTCCGACCTGGGTAAAAAACATATTCATTTTTGGTATAGATATGTAGACGATATTCTTGCCTGTTTCAGAGGTACTACACGACAGCTGAACCAATTTGACATTCATGAAAAATCTCAATAGCAACATTCAGTTCACACTCGAAACAGAGATAGAGAAACAAATAAATTTCTTATACCTGGCCATTACACACAATCAGAATAAATTCGAGTTCAATGTTTTCAGAAAACCTAGCTATACAGTCATCACCATCCCAAGCGATTCTTTCCATCCAGACAGTCATAAATTAGAAAATATCAACCTAAATCGCGAGTTCTACAGAAGTCCGTAAAAATTGAAATAGTTGATGGTCCTATATTCACAAGTGTCTCATGCTGTTTTTTATCGACATCTAGTGCAAAATAATAATATATACGTAGTTGATAAAACAAAAATATGTTTAAGAACACAAATTTGTAGAAAAAGCTTTTTAATGATCGAGAATTCATGAAAATAATTTTTCCCACATGAGACTTAGAATGCTCTGTCTTAAATTATAATTCATTATAAATACTCATACGAGGTTGAAACGAAAATTCATGGAAAACGATTTCTGATGGAAGTTAATGGAAAATACTGGATCGTGAATTATAGAAAATAATTGTTTCTCAATGAACTTAGACACGCTGACAGCAAGTGCTTCAATGTTGTTACTTCTTAGAGTGGCGTTGAGGTGATTATACGTCTCTTTGACATACAGAGAGTGCGAGATGCTTCCATCTACGAGTAGCACATCCGCTTCTTACTCCCCGCTTCGTTCTTCCTTGACATAGCCCATTGCAAATTTGTCTATCACGAACTTCATACCGATAGCATGCATGTACTCTGCCACCACCCTCAAAGACTGATGGAGGTCCTTTTCTCCAGAGGCACAAAGTTTGAAACCATATAAAACAAATGGTCGAAGCGAGTCTGCCAGAATGGAATGAGTTGTTCAAGGCATCTCAATACCTTGTCAGGTACCGCAAGGTACCTAGGCAAATGAAAGATGAGTCCAAGCGATGTTATATTAAGTGCCTTGCGATAATGGATCCAGCCCATAGAGAGGCTACGATTATACTGTATCGAGTCACACGTTTTGTTTCGAATGATAATGCCTTTCCACCATAACGTCATAGTTACTATTTTTCCAACAGAATTTATGCTTTCATTTGTATTTGGTATTTCATTCAACGCTTCCCATCTTCAAATTCAAATAAAGCAAAGTGTGTGTGTGAGATATCATAACATCGTTGAAATGTCTACCACGGCTTCTCTGGATGGAGCGAATCCGAAGCGTCTAATTTTCCATGACTCTGGCTCATAAATCATGCTGAATTTGACCAATGTCAAATTATGGTGGCTTTGAGGACCATTCTGGTTTGTGGTTCATTCACATACCTACACCTGCAACTTGAGAAATTCAGGCCAAAAGCAGTTAGTAATAATCGATCTATAGTGCTTGCCGTTGGCAGTGATGACCTGGCCAAGGTCGTTCTCAAATATCAAACCCTTATTGAATTGCACAGCAATAGGGGAAATCTGAAGTTGAACTCAGACTTCCACAACTATCCCACCCGAAATAATAGTCATGTGAAGCCAAACAGGTTCAGACTGAAAATGTCTTCTTCTCTCCCAACTTGAATTTGTACAATAAACTTAATGAAGGCCTAACAAAGCTCAGCATGTATCTTAAAAAAAAAAACATTGACTGAACATTGCTTCTATTCAGTAGAGGAATACATGAACTCCACAATTCACTAGTCCATTGCTATACATTCACCTTCTTTTTATATATATTTTTCATTAATTTTACATTTATATGTGTACTGTTACTAACCTACTACTCGTGTAAGTTATTCACAATGTATTCAATAAAGTTTTCTTATTCTTAGTTTTATTCTCATTATTATTCTCATTCTCATTCTCATTATCATTCTCATTCTCATTCTCATTCTCATTCTCATTCTCATTCTCATTCTCATTCTCATTCCTATTCCTATTCCTATTCCTATTCCTATTCCTATTCCTATTCCTATTCCTATTCCTATTCCTATTCCTATTCCTTTCCTATTCCTATTCCTATTCCTATTCCTATTCCTATTCCTATTCCTATTCCTATTCCTATTCCTATTCCTATTCCTATTCCTATTCCTATTCCTATTCATATTCAAGTTTCCAGTACGATATTAGAAGATATAATTTTATACAGTGTAGTGTATAAATGTACGTAAAGGTAAAGTATGTTAGTAAGATTTACACGTTTATTTTTTATTTGTATTGTAGTGTGAACCGTAAGTGAACTTAAAAATAGGGAAAACAATAGATATTGTTCGGAAGTATTGCATTTCTAAAGTTAACAATATTTACCATTACATGTATTGCAGTAAAACCTTTTTTAAAAATGCGTCCAGGATTAAAACTCATTTAAGTAAAGTTTGTAAAAATACTCCTAAGCAAATTAAATAAAAATTTATGCAATCTGGCGACGACAAAAATGCGTCATCAAGCGACGATGAGAACGAATGTGTGTTGGTAAATGAAACCATTTTGGGTGATAACTCCACTATCAATGCTCCTGAATCTGAACGGTTAGTGTCAGAAATATCACCGCAACGGTCAACCTCAAGTTTCACAGCTACTGGTAGTACTAGTTCTATAGGCAATTCCAGTTTTGCATTGATCCTGAAATGTCGCACCCTTCTACTTGCAATGTTTCGAATGAACCCATTAAGCCTGCGACTTGTTCAATGAAACCCGCGACTTCTATCAGAGTTTTTGAGTTGGCCGAATTGCCAAAAAAGATCAAGTAAGTATAGCGTAGATGTTCGATACAAAATATAAATTTGGATTAGAATTTGCACTTAACCCTAAACCTATGCTTTTTTTGCATGAAAAAAATCGAAAAGCAGCTAGCTCGTGCAATATATGCTAGTTACTGTCCATTGTCCATCTTTGAGAACCCCGAATGGGTTAAATTCTTCAAGATGATTCATCCAAGCTTTGTACCACCAAGTAGATATAAACTGTCGAATACAAATTTGGATGCAGAGTTCAATCGAGTGAAGGAGAAGATTGAAACTACAATCAATGAAAGCGAAATTCTAGGTCTTCAGAGTGATGCTAGAGAGAGCAACATACGAAACCAAGGAATAATAAATTGTATAGTAACTACACCATCACCTCTGCTGAAGGCTTCTATTGAAACTAAGTTGCAAAGACAAACTGCACAGTATATAGCTGAGGAAATGCGTAAGATGATTGAAAAATACGGATCAAACAAATTCTTAGGATACGTATCAAATAATTCAAAAAATATTAAGCTGGAATTAAACTAAAGGAAAAATATGGTATTATCACATATGATTGTCTTTTCCATGGTCTTAATTTGTTATGTAATGATTTTCTTAAAATTATTACTATATCGACTCTGATTTATAAAGTTACAGATATTGCAAAAGAGATTAAGAATAAACAAGTTTTGTATGAACTTTTGCGGATAAAACAAGCAGAAAATAAAAATATAGAGCCAAATGCAGGTGCCATACAATTGCCCGAAAAAAATCGTTGGTCTTCAATTTTTAACAGTTTAAAAAGTGTACACAATACTAGGCTCAGTTTACAAGTAGTTGCAGTTAGCCAAGAAGCAATACACATTTTTAATAAACATGTTGAACAGTGGATATTTGATGATGAAGTATTTTGGAGTTGAATTTGCAGCCTGATTTACATCTTTGAACCTATTGGCAAATGACTGATTGTTGTAGAAGAAGAATATGGCACTATTCACTTTGTTGTAAAAGCATTTAGCGATATTGAAAAGTTTATTCCGAACAACCTTGAATTTTCCCCACCCAATGATAAAGAGAAATTTAAATTGCTAGTTTCTTGACAAAAGAGAAAAGTTTGTTATTGTTATTATACATTATGTTATGTTATTATACATTATGTTGCAGAATGACTTAGTCCAAAATCACAAGGTTTTGAACTTGATGGAACACAAATTCTTCTAGCCATAGAGTGCATAACTAATATAACAAAAACTAAGCTCAGTATAAACAAGCAAGACAGAATAGATGACATAGCAAATTACCGTTGTGAGACTGGCAAATTATTTTGAAATAACTTTATATGGAAAAGTACCTTTGATAACCCAGTCTCCAGGTGGAAAGGACTTTGTTCTCCATCTTTACTATCACAAACAGCGACACGCATCTTCGGCAGCAACGGAACGCAGTTTTAGCGTTTACAGTCACATTTATTCGAAATAAACAGACTTACTAATGACAGAGCTGCCAAACTAGTCTATGTATCCCATAATCAAAATTTGCTGAAGAAAAATGAAAAAGGCGTCAGGTCAGGTCAAAAGATGTTGAGTGTGATAATAGCGATGAAGATATGCCTGTGGCTCAACTTCTTCGTCAAAAATAAGATTTTTTTTTAACAAGTTTAGTATTATTTTTCTTTGTTTGTGTTTAAGTATGAAGTATTCTGTTTCGTTTTGTTTGTTCGTTTTTTTTTGAGAAAGTTTGACATTATTTTGTTTTGTTTGTGTTTAGGTATAAGCATTCTGTTTATTGTTTTGTTTTTTTATGAATAAACATTCCATTTTCTTATATTTTTTAAAGTTTCTTTAATGTTTTCAATATTTCCATATATTTCCAATATTTCAGGAAATATTTTACAACACTACTCAATCCTGGTATATTTCAATTTGACAGTGGCCCTAGTAATTCCAACGGTGAATCACCTTCTTCAATCATAACTGAATATTGAATGTATGATTGTATTCCGTCTTCATTTTGTGAAATTGACTCATTGCAAACTCTCATCAAGAAGACATTAATCTAATTTTTTTTTATAGGAATACCGAATCACACCAAGAGCCATTTTTTCACAGAAGTTTAAAAAATCAACGCCGAAGGAAATCCCATCTTGATGATATTTATGGTCCAAACTTTGAAGAATACCAGAAAAAAGAGTGAGTAGTAACAAAAACCTGAAAAGTAATAATCGCTTTCCTCAGTTGAATTTTTTAAGGCTTTCGCCAATTAGTTTGTCATACTATTTTCATATTACATTATTTTGTAGATATTTTGTCCGAGCTGCCCAAACATATATATTACCGTTTAGTTTCATGATAGTGAATATCATGAACAGATGATATGTTTTTGGAAAATGGTGTAATTTGTTAACACTTAGACTTCTCTAATCTGTTAATAGGGGTATACTCATCACAATTGAGAGTTGGCACTAGTAATGAATAATGTTTACATGTGATACATTTTCAAATGGCTACTATTTTGTTTTTAATCAACATGTGAATAACACATATTCCAATTTCAATTCTGAAAATAACTCCAGTAACTTGAGAAACTTCAATATTCGAATTGATGATATCAAACATAGTTTTTATTAAAGGGAGCTTATTATAACTGTGTTGAAAAGAATATATAATACAATTCGTATAACCATTCGAATCTCTATGGTGTCTGTATCTGTAGAGAAGGGAGTGTGAGTGTGGGCCCACATCACTTAGGCCACATGTGACCCATTGTACATCCTTCCGAAGAGTTGTCCACCTAGGTCATCTTCCATCCTGCCCTTTCCAGGAAGGTGTACAGGTTACTAGGAGACATCTCCTTTATATCGGCAGGTGTAGGCCAAGACTCACCGAACACACACCCTCTTATTGACGATAATTCGGGACACTCGCATGGGACAATGCTGACAGTTTCATCTTCCTGTTCACACATCCTGTATAGAGGTGTGTCCACTAGCTCCATATTATGAAGGTGTTTCCTTAGTTGCCAGTAGCCAGTCAGAAATCCTAATGTTAAGCGTAGATTTTTTCCTGGTCATCGCCCTATATTTCTTCGACGCCAGCTTCCCAGGGTCACCCAGGGTGATCCTGGCAATTCCTACTTCGAGGTTAGTCGTGCGCAATCGTAACATGGCCATTAACACAGCTCCCTTAAACTACAGGTTCAGAGGGGTCAGACCAGTAATTAATTCCATTGCCGCGGTTGGTGTTGTTCTCATGGCTCCGTACGTTAACATAGGTCTTATTATTGCAGTGTAGATCCAGGTGACCACACGGGGTGAGAGACCCCATGCGCGTCCCACTGTCCTGCGACATTGCTCATTAGCCACATATGCTATCTTTGCTCTACTACGTAGGTGAGAGTTACATGTTAGCTTCGAGGGTAGTACCAAGGTATTGTTCTCATGACTCCCTACGTTAACATAGGTCTTATTATTGCAGTGTAGATCCAGGTGGTCCACACGGGGTGAGAGACCCCATGCGCGCCCCACTGGCCTCCGACATTACTCATTAGCCACATATGCTCTTTTGCTCTACTACGTAGGTGAGACTTACATGTTATTTTCGGGAGTAGTACCAAGGTATTTCACCTCTTCAAATGAGTTTAGTTTGCTTTTGAAGATTTCGGGAGGTTTTAAGCCCGATAAACTCATTTTCCTGGTGAAAAGGACCATCTCACTCTTTTTGGGATTGGTTAAAATATACACAGCCATTGTTTCATTTTATGACACAGATGAATTGTACAATGTATACATTATTAATATACCAATTTTTCGAATTGGATATTATTTTAAAATATGTGAGAGATAGGTTGCGATTCATATTCAAGAGAAATCGATATTTTTGAAAAGTAATCAATTCCGTTTCTTTCAGATACCACAGAAGAAGGTATTCTAAATGGGACCAATCGGACCACAGAAGTTCAGTTCTGCGATCAATCAAACAAAGCTCTTCGCAGAAATCTGAAAGTGATAGTAGGGATTGTCACTCTAAGAATGATAATAAAAAGCAATTCACTGATGAAATTGACAATAATAAAAAGGTGGGCTGTGATAATGACAATAGTCGGGTATCGGGCTTTTCAGAAAAATCCACTTTACCAAATGCAAACGTTCCAAATGAGACAATACCCAAAAAAGTATGTGAGGATCTAAAAAGCACTACAAAATGTGTTAACTTCGAAGATAACACGGACCAAGTCAAACAGTTTCGTGAAAGTACGAATAAAATGATTAACATCATCAGTGATGAGAAAATTACAAATTCTACAGAAACAGTCAACATAGTTGACCGAAAAAAATCAATTGAGGTCGATGATGAAAACATGTCTGAAGAAAAATCTGCCTTAACAAATACTTCTAACTTCCATCTACGAGATAATTCATTGGAAAAAACTTTTTCCTCTGATAGAAAAATTGAATCTGATGAGGAAACTGTATATCACAGTGATTTGATAGACATTGACAAAATTGATAAAACCAAATCATTTTTACCGACACTGAAAAATATTGATGAAGATGGCTCATGTCGTGATAAAAGAAGGAACATTGACAACTCAAATAATATGGTTCAAATGCCATCAAATAATTTTCCGGATATAAATTCTGATCGATTGTTAAGTGAATTGACCGAAGCAATACAAGATAACACCGATAAAAAAACGGTAGAGGATGTTACGAATGATCGAGCTTTATCTACCGAGAACGAGCTCGTTATTCATTCCGGTATACATAATGAAAATAATAAGCCCTCAAAAACAACAATAAATGGAAATAAATCCTCTACAGAAAGCTCTTCGCCAGTTGACCGCTTAAAACAATCGAAAAACTGCAGTGAACATACCAAAACAAAATTCAAAAAACAATGTTCTGAACAGAAGAAAATTATCGAAAAGAAAAAGTCTTCTAACGGGAAAATGTCGTCATTATATTATCCCGCGTTGGCTAATTATACCATCCCTAAACTGACAGAAAAGCCAAATAAGTTCTCAGGGATCGACGAACCATACATGAAAAAAATGGAATCTCTATTTGGAATTGATGAGGATGATGAAAACAACCAAAGGAAGGTGAAGCCAGTGAAAATTAATATTGATTCTGAAAACAAGTCTAAAAAAAGGCTCAGTGCTATAAACGAACATTCAGATTCAAAAAAGAGACGTACAGATGGTGGTGCTACAAAATTTCTTAAGGAGCCTATGGGGGATAAAATTCGAATAAGCAAAACAGCAACCGAAGAAGAAAATAGAAAAAATAAACATACTTCCAATATCTCGAAGACCTTGAAATCGACTAATGGTTCAAAATATAACGTTCACAAATTGAGCCGACATAAAACTAATCACAGACATGAATCAGTACAACCGTCTACCAAAGTGTATAAGAAAGTTATCGAATCAGAAACTCAAGATATGAAACCATCGGCTGCAAGTAATTCAGAAGTAGTTAACAAAGACAATACAGCAAACTTTAAAAACCGTGACAGAAAACATATGAAGATAATTGATAATAAAAGACGTAATTCAGAAACTGTTACTTCAAATAAAAAATTGATTACAGAGAGGCGACATTCTTTGCAACTGTTCAATTCTGATGGAGTCAAACGAAATAATAATGGAGCGAAAGAAAACAGTGAGTTACAAGTAATATTACAACAGAAAAATATTTCGAATGAGATTTCTATGAATAAATCAGTTACCGAAAAACACAACTCATACCGAAAAGGTGTTATAGAAAATGATACCAAGTTAAACATTCGTGAGGAAAAAAAGATGCAAATTGAAAATTGTAAAGATTTTGATGAAATATCGAGTGCATTATCAAAGATCTTCGAATGCGAAACACCTATTACAGAAAAGTATTCAGAATCAACAAAAACTTCAGATGAAGTAACTATAACTGAAATGGATATTGTTTCTGAGTCTGTTTCAAATTCAAACAGAATATCTGAGTCTGAAATAAAAACTTCTGTTGGACCAATAACTTCAAACAAAATATCAGGCTTTGAAATCAATCCTCATGAAAACTCGTCTGCGTTGCCTTCGTTAGAGTCGCTGACAGAATTCAATTCAGAAACGGAAACGACTATATCTGATTTTCCACAGGAATCTTCTGAAAAGGAAACATCTCTCCAAGTTGACATCTCTGATGAAGTAGCAACCAAATCTTCAGGTGTAGAGGAAAACACTTCCAATTGTTTGGAGTCTGATAGCTGCAAAAAATCTCTTTTCCAGTTACCCCAAGATATCACATTTGAAAAATCAAATTCAGATACGCCTATGATAAAAGTAACTGAAAAAGATCAACTTGAAGTGAATGGAATAAAAAATGAACTGAACTCGTTAGTTGAAGATGATAAAAGTGAATCGAAAGCGCAGAAAAGTTTATTCTTAGTAAATACTGCCATTAAATGTGAATTGTCGCTTCCTAGCGAAAACTGCAGTCCTCTTGATGGTATATTCATTCCTGAATGTCACCGAATTCACAGTTTTTTAGTTCTCAATGATTGCAGCGAAATTGCATCTATTATGGATAGTCCCGAAGTTGAAAAAGACATTATAGTTATTAAAAATTGTTCAATAAATTCTGAAGTGATGGAAAGTGAAGTGACAGAAAAAAGCACTGATAACGATTCTTTCGATGATGTCATTGAAATTAAGCCAAATATACCAGTTATTGATTTAACTAAAGATTCTCCTGATGCCAATATAACACAAATAGACTCAAAAGAAGATTTATTGGAATTATTACACCAGGTTGACACAAGTGGTGAAAAAATTACAATCTATCGAAGTGATGAGACTTCGAACGATTTGGCAGAAGTTCAAACAGTGTCTGTCTCAATATCACCAGCAGTACTAGGAGTGAATGTGCAGAAAGAAATCAAAACTGATGATGAATCTGCTGAACCCATTTCAATTGTTGGAACAAATGGATCAAATGAACAAACTGTTTCTCCAATGGAATACGATGAAATCACAACTTCAATTGATCCGATATCCGAAAATATAGAAACTACATCAACATTATCCACACAAGTGGAAAATGGTGGAATAGCCGAGAGGCTCCTTATGGAAAAAGAACAACCTGCCACAGATAATCTCCATATAGCTTCACCAACCCCTGTTGAATCCAATGAAGTAGAGTTTCTACATCCAAAAACTTTGGACCAAAATTCAGTCAGAAAAGTAACACCGAGAACAAAGAGCCAACTGAATAATACTTCATTGGACGAAACGCCTCTTCACTCAACACCACAAACAATAGGACAAAACTCAGATCACTGCGATAATATTGCAAAACTTACAAGATTCGTTTTTCCACATTACCTACAAAGAATTCCACAGGGAAATAGGTATGTATACTTTTCGAAAATTTGTTTTGACTTGATAGGGAAACTTTTAGGAAATCGTAGGTGGTTTTGAATATTATAAAAGACTAGTTGTTGCCCGCGGATTCGCCCGCATAGAATTTGGTTCATCACATCAAGTTTCGTGACCGACCCCTTTGAACGAATAGTTACGATATTATTTTATCAACTCGAAACTTCAGGTTTCCAACTTCAAAACTGACTATTTTTTCCATGGGGGTTAAAATTCCTGATTTCTCTCTTGACTCTTATTTACGCTGTACAAAGAGCCTACCTGCATATTTCAAGATTCTAGGTTCAGTAGTTTCGGCTGTATACGTTAATATGAGAGTGGGCAACAGTAGTAGTTTATAATTTCACTTTAAAAATACAGTAACTGAAAAAATATGCTGTACTGAGTAATGAATAGCTTCGAGAATCGAATTACGTCACCTATAAAGAAATTCGCAAATCTAACACAACCGTCTGCCCTCACGCGTCTGCCCACGTTCGGCTCACGTTCTGTGCGATGGCGCTTTATTACTAAGACCGCCCATCTACCTCGGCGCATCGTCCCATGTTGTCCTACAGTGGACGCGACCCGTAATGGCTTACTGTGTTGCGTCAAGTTATTCTTATCATAATAACTTTTGAACGATTCGTCCAAATTACTTAGTGTAAAAAACAAAGTGAATCTATATCAAAAAAGTATATATTAAAAAAAGTATCTTAATTTGCTGAAAATTTTGTGATGAACAATAAACGCCTTATAATTGAAATACACTATCTAACATTCCAGGTATAGTTTGTAGTTACATTACAAGAATATAATGAATTAATGTTTCTCTTTCAATACCTTCTTCATGTTTTAATTCACTCCAAAAGCCAGTCTTTGACATTCTCACGACATAATCTGCTTGAAATAGCATATCATTTCTTATGATAGGTCAATGTAATGTCACAGGCAATAGAAAGTGCTGAACAAATAATTGTAAGCATGTCTATAGAGAAATTATGGTTTTTAGATGATCGTTTTTGTCAATATTTTTCTTATTAGTCAGTGGGCTATGCTTTGAAGACTGACAGTAAACAAATCTAAAGAAATGAACTTTAAACGTTCAAGCCAGCCTCGAATATACCTACATATCCCACAGTAGGTTGAGTGGACTAACGCCTATCAGAAAAAATTGCCTTGAACGTTTAATGTTCATTTCTTTAGATTTGTTTACTGTCAGTCTTCAAGCATAGCCCACTGACTAATAAGAATGTTTTTCTTCCTCATTCAGAGGAATCGGGCAAATTTCGGATATGCAGTTGGTTAGTACCTCGTCCACTAGATGGAGTGACATTTTGTTGTTCGCTCCAACTTAGGAAGAGGAATGAAATACTCTGAAAGAATTCCGATTTTCAATTATGGAATATCATTGACTTTAGGTCGATGATGACAACTATCTTGCACTGATGAGTGGCTAATGAGCCCGAAACCGGTCTTCAACTGTGCCCGTTCCAAAATTGAAGGTCGACTCTTTCAGTTGTATAGTAATTACATATGCAGAATTTTTTTGTGAGATTCCTGCACTGACGCCTGTCGGATATAATCCAACGCCCTTCGTGGTATTAGCCAGGGAAGTAGTTGTTTTCTGATAGGCGCCAGTTCATTCAACGTAACACGTACGTTGAATGAGCTGGCGTATACTCGAGACTGGCTTTAACGTTTAAAGTTCATTTCTTTAGATTTGTCAATATTCATAATGATATGAATTGATTCGTTTGATTATAAACGACTTCTATTGCTCTTTTATGGTCGCAGATCATGAAGAGAAGGGATTTCCTGATGACTTTACAGGCTTTATCTAGTACAATTCCGCCATGTAGACATTAAGAATCCACCGCTTTCTTGTTGACGGGGGAAGTATGAGTGTGAAACGGTGCAAACTCCTATGGAGATGCGTCGTTTCTCGGGTCATTACGGTGAGTATATAAAACAAATATGTCCACTCCACAAAAGAAGTACAATGAGACGAAACGGCAAACATATTTGTAGCAGAAACTAGCATTCCAGACAGTGCTGCTTGGTGGTCAATAGCACCCCTTAACTCGAAGTGTAATGGATACGTTGTAGTTTGGCAGCTATTCGCCGTAGAACGAGCGGGAAAAGTCTGTTCATCGCCCTGTAGTGCATCACACATTGAAACAAGTGGCGTGTTGTCTCTCTGAATTGATCTAAGTTTCTATCTAGTACACCCGTCATTTAATCTTTCGAAGCACAAGTTCGGTATTCCGTCCTTCCGATTCGAAAAACGACTGAATGGCGTTGTACATCGCGGTGTTGATTTGCCAGAACATCATTGAATTTCGCATCTGTTGTGGCTTCAGGGACCTAATTTTGTGGAGCGCTCAGGGTGTATCGATTGATAGTGGCATGAGGCGTGGTAAATGGAGATAGATCTGCCAATTCGTTAGCAGGTTGAAAGGAGTTTCATAGCACTGCCGCCGAAGATAAGATTCATCAAAGATTTTCGGCGAAAAAGGCGGCATGCTCCTAATGTCTTTCACATCATAGAACGTCAATTATTGCCACTATTCTCTAGCAACGCACAAGGCTACTCCTGAACTCAGAGCTTGTATTGGGATAACGTTCGTCGGTTGTCGGCAAATCGTGGTTTAACCCACCACGTCAGTAGAAGCAAGCTGGCTAACTCAGTCGAATACTTCTGGTTAAAGTATCTTTAGAAAAGGGGAAAATTCCCAATCTCCCTTCGAAGAAATGGAAATGGATCGGATCGAAATTCATGCAGTGGTGAGATATTCGTATGGAAAACTGAGATTTTCTGGAAATCTCAGCCACTGCTATCTCGACATGCCTGAAGATTAACTCATTGATGTCTGCCCTCTTTGATAATGACAAATTACAAATAAAAGAGAACTCAAAGAAGTCATTTTGATGACATATATCACGACATTCATAAAAAGTGGGCTAGTAAAAGGGCTAGTGGGATCGATAGAAGACTCTTTATATGAATATCAGATGTGAACGAATATTACAACGGTCCAAAGTTAAACTCCGACATAGGCCGCTGAACAAGATTCACTATAAGGCAACTTATTGAAACCAGAACCCACAACAAAGTATTCGTGAGCAAATACAGACAGCACTGTTTGGTCATTGGCACACAGTTAGATGGTGAGATATCTGAACTCTATTTCGATGTGCCCGAAAAACAACTCGCATGGGTGGTAGCACAAGCTCTACCGTATTGTGCTTCAGCAGATTTTTGGGAACAGAAACTAATAAAAAAGAGAGAGAGAAAATTCGAAATGTTTCCGAATGCCTTATGTACCATTTTCAACTTGATCGAAAATTTTCTTTCAAACATAATATACATTTATATGTATGAAATTACATGTTTTATTATATTTCAAGGCATGAATTGTTGAATTGGTTCAATTGATCCATAACATTACCTCTCTTAAATGAAGTAGAAGAAAATTTCATGGCGGAATCACCTTCATTTTATATTTTGTTAATAACTTCAATAAAACTTTATTTTTCTTGTGATGTGAAAGCTAATCTATCATTGTATTACAGATTGAATCGAGCCCAAGTGATGCAGCCTTCTGTGCCTTGTGGGGAAACTGTTTTATTATCCCAAACTAGTGAGGAAGGAACAAACGTACCAGAAGTGGTCATTGGAAACATATCTTCAAATAGTAATGTGTCGCAGGTTCCATGTCGCGCAGAAATGAATAGAAATTTTCTTTTTTCCAATCTGACTCAACAAGAATATTCAATGGCAACTGTTCTCATACCATACATTCACCTCATGGTATGCGTCAGAAAGGATCTGACAGTTCACACGAATATTTTAAAGAATAATCTACATTTTCTACCAGCATTAGTGAAACAAGAGATTAAACTGAGCGAATATGCCTACTCATCTAAGTTGGAAGTTTATTCAGAACAAATTACGAATGAATTGAAGACACTGAATTTAATGGGCTCCATGAATATCGTTACTGCTCATGCCATGATAGAATTGATTTTTCGAAATGTCTCAAATGTTAATAAGAATTTCACTAAAACCAGTATAATTCTCTTTCTAGAACATTTGATGGAGCCACGTAACTCGTTTTACAAACGCTTTCGTTACCTACAGGCATTTTATGATTACATTAAATTTCTTAGCAACGAAATTCAACGACGTGGCCAACAAATAGGATTGACTTTAGGTAAGTAACAGTGGCTTTGGGGTAATTTGTAATGACAATGTTACGATTGTCACTTTTATATTTCAATTTGATTCATAAGACCTTTTAAAGATCAACTCATTTTAGATGAAAGTATATAGTTTATATAGCATTATGCAATCTTTCCGGTTATTTATCTCTGTTGCACAGTGACTCTATCACTTGTTTTTCATTCATCTAAGAGGGAAAGATGAATTGGTCGATCATTAAGCCGCATTTACACGATGCCAGTTGAGGAGACAATTGTCGGGGACAGTTGCGTTAATGTCTGAGGCCAGAATTGAATGAGAACTTGTTCACACGGTGAAACTATTGTCACGGCAATTGGTGACGAAAAATGGCGGAGTCCTCATCGTCTGTTGTGTCTCGTGGTGAATTGAGACTCCACTGACAAAGGCAAACTGGTCCAAAACGAGATATCTACTGCCCTACGACATTCACACGGCGCCAATTGTCAAGATAACTACCGTGATAGAGTGTTAGGGGATGTCACTGCGCCCAGTCAATTGTCCTCTGCCTACTCCTGGAGACAGTTGAATTTCAGGACAACTGGTAGGTCAGTTAGCACGCCATTTGGCCAGAGGTGTTTACACGTAGCTAATAATTGTATATCAGTTAGCTGTCCTCTGTCAATTGTCTCCTAAACTGGCTTTACTGAATTCAATAATACCATATAATAATACTTGTATTTGTATAAAAGTATAATAGTACTTGTATGAAAAAAATGAAGCCTGAAATTGATGAAAGTTGTCAAAGGGATGTGATAGTTCAAATAAGACATATGATTGGAGAAAATTCTGCTCCAATTTGCTTTTTCAAATGTACCTACATCAAAACATTTCACCGCATTCGCGAAGTTATTAGAAAGTTATTAGGAAAAATACATAGGAAATACATAGCAGTCTATTGTTCCTTATTGGTTTTCGGTTCATTCATATCCAATTTTCGTAACTAGTAACAACGTAACACTAATCCACACGAACCTTTTTTTTGAGCTGATGGAAAATCGAATTCATTGCCTGTGACATGCGAAGGGAATCTTTCATGTCACATTATGTCATGTTACATTATTCTTCAATCATTATGCTTATGGCATAGATGACTTTTATAATCTCAATCAATCAGCGAATTGTAAACAGTTTTTTCAGATGGTACCGTATCAATAAGATGTATATGGGGCAGTTTTGTACATTCCTGTCTACTCAGACATTTTTCAAATTATAAAAAACCATTCAACAAAAACCTTGACGAGTGATATCCCTCTCCATTTTTACCCTACTCCAATCCAGCTTCTGCTGATTTGAAGCTAATGAAAGACTAGTTACTTCAACGTGATGTCACATTTCCGGTCGTTTGTAAAAACATAAAAGGAAACCTTCGAATATACTATCAAACGAATATTACTGGAATTTTATATCAACATTTTACCGTTATTTTAACACCTCGACACGTGTTTCGATCACCAAGTTATCATCTTCAAGAGGAAGATTGAACTGAGTTTAGTCTTCCTCTTGAAGATTATTACTTTGTGATCGAAACACGTTTTGAGGTGTTGAAATAACACTTTAGTGTTGGGATAAAACTTCAGTAATATTCATTACTACACCAAAGGAAACAGTACATCACAAGTATACTGTCAAATAATAACATGTTGGTTGTTAATGAATGTATGTTGAATGAATACTTCATTTGAATAGTTTTTGTCCGTAGGACACTCAAACTTTATAACCTAATAAATGAATAAATATGATATTAGGGCAGAAACATAATAAAGTTGAATCACGTCAAGAGGATAATACAAATTGACTTTAGTTGATGACTGCAGCAAAGAGACACAAAGAGTGGCTCAAGAAAAAATATTGGACCTAGATGGTAAAATACATACAACTGTATGTAGTGTTTTCAGCGTAGGTGACAATTCCAATAATTCAATTGAACAAAAAAAATATTGACACAGTAAGATATGAGTATGTTTCAATTCACGTTTCTTATTATTTCCAAAGAGATACCTATAAAATAAATAGACTGAACAAGTATTTCTTCAGATAGTTAGAACGGTATAGAGAACAGGAGAGCCAGGTTTGAATCCCAGTCAGGTCACATTTTTTCAATTGAGTTTCTCATTCATATATTTTCGTACCGCAAATTTAATATTTCATGTCTTATATTCAGTACAATTTCTCACTTGGATATTATACTTACACTTAACTTTTGAGTAAACTCCAATTTACACCAATTTGATATATGTGAAATGAACAACTATAAAAAAATTGTACGAAAAAAAGTATTTTTTGCGGACCAGTATATCTTGATGTATAAATTCAAGATGGAGTTCACATTTTTAAAAGCCACATTTTCAATGAATAATAACTCGACTTATTCTTTCCCAGGACAAAGAAAGATTCTAGAGAACCAGATTCGACAATATCAGCTTATACTCGAAACCGAAAGAAATCGACTCCGTAGTGCAGTGAATCAGAAAACTACCCTCTACAATTCTCGAATAATTCAAACATATTCATCAAATAATCGAGAAGCTGAAAAGATTAGTTTATCGAAACCAGCCGGCTCTGGTTCCGTTGATGCCACAGAGTTACCAGCCAGTCTTAGATCACCTGCTCACAGACCTGCAGGTTTCACAGATTCCTTGAGACAGATTTTCGGTCAACCAAACCATAACCAAATGAATTGTGCTATACCCAATTCTCCAGCAATAGTCCAGTCTCCCGCTTACAGATTTGAAAAAACACCTCAAAATCAGTCTTCAGTGATGCCAAATCAAAGTAAAATAAACGATACTACACATATGCAACCAATAGCGACTTCCAGATTACCAGCTCACAGACCTGAAGAGATGCAGTCACCTACAATTCCCTACACTACTTCTAACATAAGTAACGCTAGTGCGTTGACTCCCAGCCGTTTCACAGCACCTTTGAGATACCAAGGTCGCTCACGAGGAGAGATGCAAAAGCAACCACCGACATATTCTAGTAATGCCAATTTCAGCAATAGTAATACTCCCATCACATCTCCTGCTCGTGTGGGAATACCCGCTTTCAGATCCGAAGGACCTCAATCCAGTCAATTACCAGCACCAATGACGTCGCTACTTCATACTTCATCTGAGAGCCCACCATCACTGCCATATTCCAATAGAGGTCAACCCAACAATTCATACCAAAGTTCACTAGTTCAGACACCTGAAGGTCTGCATAATGCATCAATGCAGTCCAATTCTAATATGGCCTGTTATTTGACACATGCTGAAAAATCACCAAATCACAGATCTAACAGTTCTCCGGCTAGTTTTTCACCAGTTTCGGCATCCATGAGTACTCCAGTACACCCTCCTGATGTTGCCAATGGACGCCAACTCAGGTTTGTGGTACCAAATCAATCTACCATCAGATCTACTATCACGAGTTCTCCGGCGAGAAATTCACCAATTATCTCATCTCCTTCTCAAGTGGCGAATCAAACTTCGCCATATAATGCACCCATCATCAACAGTCCTTCAACGAGACCAGAGCAAGATTCTTCAACAAATGATACAGTTAATATTTCCCATATTGAGTCTTCACCGAGGAGTACTAATATTGAAAATTCTCCACATGTGACACCTTGCCGTGCATCAATGCCGAATCTCATCAATATAAAACCTCCTGTGTATGCCCCAATGCCATTCAGTCCTACGAATTACATCCAAGATAAACCTGATAACTCAAATGATGTAAATGAGGAAAGTGCCCAAAATCATTGTGAAAAGGAATCTGATACTGAGGCTCAAGTTATTGACTTGACCTGGCTAGATGAAGTTGATGAGGAGCAAATTCAAAAAGAACTTGATTTTATCGTTGTGAAAAAAGAAGAACTGGAGGATGAAGAAGTTATAGTCAATCGAGAACAGTTTCCTGTGGTGAGTGTTAATGTAATTACTACTTTTTATTCTTAAGTTTGGGTGATGGGAGTTGTGATTGCATAATTCCATTGAAATTTGAATAAATCCCATTTGCACAATTCTAACATTCAGTAGAGTCAATCACTATCAATAGAATCAATAAAAACCTTATACCACATTATGTACATATTTGAGTTCAATACAATACAATGCCTCCATTTCATTTTATCACAAAATTTAATTATTCATATAAGTAATACTTTACATAAAACACAGACCTAGTGATTTTCTTCTCCAAAAAATTTGATCTATTATAATTGTCTACTCTTCACGACGAATGGTTCAAGGTACACAAAAATGCTTATTTAAATGCTGATCATATCATTAGTCGACTCCAAGGCTGTTTCGACCCGGGATGTACAAACCCCAATGTTTCGAAAAAATGCTTGAAATATATGCTCTTGAAGAAACACATATTTTATGCTCTTGATGAAACACATCTGATTGATATCTTCTCGATAAACCTTTGCTGACTTCTGTTTTTCATTGGTTCTTTGTCTGAAATAGTCTTCAATGGATTATAAAATTTCACAGAAATGTTTAAATTGGTGAATATATAGTATATTTTCTTTTCTTCTTGCACTTCATGGATTGATATCAATATGTATATTTCAACGCCAGAATTTAACTATAAAGGAGCTAATAGTTTTAGAAGTGATTAGTTTTAGGAAAAGTTGTTTGGATTTCTACTTTCCCATCATTAAACAAAAAATATTGGAAATACTCCAAAAAAGAAAGAAAGAAAATGAATACATCAAAACTGTTATACAAATGTGTAGAATGTGTAAACTCGTACACGTTAGTTTATTTCCAATTCAAACTAGAAAAAACCCTCTCAGTACAACTTTCTTCACATGAAAATTGAATTACACGAAAGAAAATGGTTCTTTCTACTTTTATACGAAAATTTAAATGAAAGAAAATCACTTATTTCCACTAAAACATCCGTTATGGAGTCGAAACAATTATAAATCATTGGAATGCTATAAAACGTAATATATGAAAGAATATTGATTCAAAATTTCACTTACACGGAACACTACCATCCTCAATTATGTAATGCAAAGTTTCGGGACAAGACCGGGACAATTCCCAAACTCGTGGCGAATTTCTGTAGTTTCACTTGAACTCTCATGACATAATTTTGTTTTCACTCGACCTAAAACTTTTACGCCTATTGACTACAACTCATAGACATCTGATATATGAAATTCAGAAAAACTAGGAAGTATAGCAATGTTTCCATTGCCCCATTGTACTGCCCTCTCGAACATTTTCAAAATCTTATTTCGAAAATATTCATTTTCCTGATTAGTACACATATTTATCAATGGGTTTTCAGTTCCATCTGTTGAAATTACCTTTAATTTGAACTTCTACATAAAAGTTTGTTAAAATGTCTTTGTGATAACGCAAGTGATAATATACCTACAACACTATCGGTGTAATGCTAACTTTGTTGGTTTATTTCGATCACTAACTTGAAATGATGTTTTACCGCTCAAATGTTATATAATTCCTATTATTAATCACCATAAATTTGATTTCATATTTTCCCAATGCCACAAATCAGATCCTTGAACCCCATTATTTTTACGAATACCTATGTTAGTTTGATTTGAAAAAATATCAAAATGAAATGGAGACTATGGACTTGTACACATTCATTTTTGTTTTTTTCCAATTGGACAATAGGAAGTTATTATAAAGTTCGGAAGTACCTAATACATTCAAACTAATTGAGACATTTGAATATTGTCTAAATATCTAATAGCTCTGAAGGAAGGTTTGGTTACAGGATCAATTTTTTTTAAAAAAAATTTTTTTTTCTTACAAAAAAAAGATCATGTTACCAACTTCCAAACCAACTTCTCTTCAGAAAAATTATTAGATCACTAAACTAGTTAACTGATATCTAATAGCGTTTTTCTTTGTAAAACTAGTGTACATTTAGTGTACTTATTTCCTTTATTAATTTATTAGGAAATTTAAGATTGAGATACGCTATAAAACAACTACGATTTCAAAATTACCCTTTTAGCAAGTCAAGGATTTTAAATCATCATTACCAAAAACAAGCAAAAGTATCCATTAATTTGCTGAAATTTCTTTAAACGTCCTCTCTTATTCTCTTCAAACAAACCACTTTTTGTCTTCTGTCTAAAATTCATACATGTGAAAAACAACATAATCAATGAATATCCTTCCTTTAAATATTTGATAGTTACATCGAATATAATAGACGTAGATCCCATATAACCAGGGTTTCCATATCGATCTCTGCATTGCTAGTTTCACTTATTCACATACTCATTAGAAATTATTTGCATAGTTCAAGTAAATGATTTAGTGCAACCTATCTCTCAACAGCTCCCCTATAATAATATATACTTTTTCAATCCTTTTCTGCCAGTCTCATTCGGTAATATTAGATACTTCTTCTTCAATTAGCCCTATTACCCTCTAATCGAATTTTGGAAAATAATTTTTACGCCTGATGCTTTATTTCAATTTTCCCCAAATCAACTATATGGGATTAAAAACACAAAAATACGGGTGAAGTCTCAATATGGTGTGTGCATACTTTTCAGCAATACTCTCAAGGGCATACACTTTTTCAAATATTTTTGTCTGTAAAACTTCATATAATCGGTTTTTGGTATAGTAATCTTCAAAATACAAATTGTTATCCATTGAAAAACTTTGTATTTCATATTTCCTCGAATTCATATGCGGTACTTTGACGAGCTGTCGCGAATGAAAGGAAGTGTTGTCAAGAACTATTATCTATAACCATCCAAATTTGGGATCAATGTATTTTGAAACCATTCCTCGAAAATGTAACCTTCCATGTCCTTATGATAGTGAACATTGCAGTCGTCAAGTTTCTTACCACATAATTTCAAAGAATTCAGAACCCATCCTCTATTTCCTCCGCAATGCACAATGATTAGTCCCGATTCTTTGTTTGCAGGCATGTTAGGCGTATACATTCTCGAACCATCAGTCCCCCCTTACGTAACTGTGTCATAAGTGTCATACCACGATTCGTCCAAATATAAAATTTGTTGTTGTTCTTGTCTATATTTAGGTATTTGTTCTAAGTATTTGTTACGCCATTCCACTATTCTTCTGCTTTCCTTAACTGATTGACCTTTGTTTATTATTTTAAATATAAATCCTAGTTTCTTCATCCAATTTTGAAGAGTTTTGTCACAGCAGCTCACAGAAGTATTCAATTTCTTTATTATGATTTCAGTTGTAGGATCTCATCGCTTTTGTAACAGATGTATATTGTTTTTTTCAATGATTTTATTAGATAAACATCTAAAGGTTTTGGTAATCCTATATCACATCGGGTCTGGCGTTTATAAGGTTTGTTTTTGACTATTTTACGTACAGTTGAGAAAGGAATTTCGATCAAATCTGATGTTGCTTGTAATAGTTTTTTTCCTTCGAAACCAAACTTGATATATAGATTCTTATATACATTGTAATAGTTTGTTTCCCTCGAAACTAAAATCAATATGTAGATTCTTATATATATGGAAACATACTCGCTGTGTTTCAATATTCAAATGCATCCGCATTGTTCACCATCCCTATTGGAATCACTACTCTGGAAAAAGTATGTGTTATCACACTCGTTATTACTATTAGTACTTGTCCAAGGACGCCACACTTTAAACAAATAAAAAAATGTTAAGTAATTATAACTGCACTAATATCGAATTTCATTACTCCGCGATCAGTTCCTGAACTGAACATTGATGAGACGACAGCGATAACCATTCCCGAATTCCCCGATTTCTATTCGTCACCGTACCATGAATTCAAATTCAATTTTATGACTCTTTAGCCAATCATAAAATTCGGTTAGTACATAAAAATAATTCAATACGAACCGCCAATTCTACAGTCCAAGTGGACTTGTTCGCAGCCGGTTTATTTTCATGTATTGGTTTTTTGGCCTTTGAGAGTACCGCAAACCTTGAGTGTGCAGTTTATCGTTTACTTCGAATATACATATTCGAAAATTATTCTAGTTCACGTTGGTTCCAGGGATATAGCCAAAACATGAATATTTTCAAGAAATACTTTCTTCATAAATTTCAAGTTGTTTTTATTGATCATGAAAAGATATACAGTTTGAAGTTCAGTTTTTCTCTAGTAATATTAAAAAGTTCGGCTCTGCTATATCTTTTCTTTCAATGATATTGTAAGAAAAATTAGTCAACATTTATTCATTCTTCAGTCGAACATGGGAATTGTTGCAATTTTTTATTATAACAATGATTCATTTTCTCATTTTTTGTACAGTTTGAAAAATTTTTCATTGCTTTGGTTGAGGTTTGATGAATGTTCATTTAATATATTATTGTATTGTTTCTGTTGATTAGAATTCTATTCAGCGTATGTACGGTATTGTAGTGGAAATGTATTTTTTTAAGACGTATTCAGATGGTCAACTACACTTCACTACAAGTAATGTTTGAAGCTCATCATTTAAGGACTCAATAGAGGAGATAGATAGGTACATTTTCTTTTGAAGCACCCTATTTTACAGTTATGATTTACCCACTCAATAAATATTCAAGCACTGTATAATTAAGAACAGCATATACTTTGTGATGAGTAATGTTTTAATGAATATTTGAAATTTTTTTTGAAAGGTTTTCAGTGTTATGTTATAATCCTAAGAAAGTTTCTTTCAGATATCATTAACAATCTTCAAGAATATTCATTGAATATATGAACTACTTCACCCCATATACACTTCTTCATATTTTATGTCAATAGACTGAGTCGGAAATCAAACAATCGAAAATTGATAAAATACAGATTAAAACCCACCACTGAAAATATTCAAGACACCAAAGATTTGAGTTTTATCAACAGAAACTAATGCAAACTCATATATTATGTGTCAATGGCTGTTGTTTAATCACGAATTTAATATTTATAAATTTGATGACAATCATGTGTCTATGTCTGTATAGGCTTACATCAGTGGACCAACTGGATCAATATGGGACTCTTCATAATGGTTGTCTGAAACTACCACTTTATCTTCAAAAGAAGGTTTGATTTATTTTTGATTGAAAACAAACTATTTACAGAATGCTGTATGTAATATTTGGACATCTGAATGTTTGAATTACTGAATTTTAACAAAATGCGGTACAAAAAATTAACGATTGAAGAAAGAAGCATTATTCAGCTCCTTACAAAAATTTTATAGTTGAATAATTTCAGGACATCCTAATTTAATCACTTATCAATTCACTCAAATTATTTTCACTTATGGTTAACTTTTTATTTGAATCGAAATAATTTCGGTAATTGTCATGAATATCAAATAAAATAGTCAAACACATATAAATTAATTGATATCAAACAATGAAAATAATACCAAAATATTTGAAATGTTGAAATGCAGTATACCATACTTTGTCTATTCATTCAAAATACAGTTGGTGAAATAAAACAGAGAACGCTGCCCTCATAGAACTCTTCTTAACTATAATAGGGTTTACCACACAATAAGTCTCTTACTGATTTTCGAAATACGCAGTTATTCCCTGAAATTTTAATATGATCAGGTAAATGATTAAACATCTTGATACCATTTTAATATATAGAGTCTTTGACTAGAGTGGAGGCTGGTAATCTTAGGTCGTTAGTTTGACGAAGGGCATAATAATTGGAGTAACCGCTAAATATCAATTTATGTTTGTCGAATAGACATACTGTTTTTAAACATAGGAGACTATGAAAAAAAATATGTTATCGGTCCTTTGAGTTCAATCAATAGCTTAAGAGATGATGACGAATCTGAAGATGGTCTTTTAGGCAAGTTGATATAAAAAAAAATTATTATTGTTAGTAGACCTGAAGTCATAAGTGAGGGTGAGTGGTTTTGGATAGAGTGAACTATGAAAAAAAACCAGGTACAATAACTCAGAATTCTCTAAACGCGCTTCTTGATGAGATACGCCAGGTGGTATGACATGATGAGCGTTTGCTTGCTAAAGCGTGAATAGTTGTTTCAAGTTTGATAAGATATATCACAAAAGTACGAAAAAATAATTATCAAGAACTGGTGGTAGACAAAATATAAAATATTCATACACTTCTATAGAAGTATTCTGGGCAGGTGCGGATCTAGAGGAGTTAATGGAATATTTACTCCTTCCTCAGATGCTGAGACTCTCAGTAACAATCTAAAAGGCATCACAAAACAGCCAATGTCAATGGATAGAGTCTGAGATAAAGGAAGTGTCGAAAGTCGAAATGATAATTACTGTTGGTACATTTGACATACCAATTATTCAAAGGTTACCTGTTCCTACAGGTAGACAATTTTTACAGTTATAAATTGATTTCATAAACTGTAAATATTACAGTAGATTCTGAAAAAATGATTATCATTATTAGTTTCACCTAAAACAACCAGGAAACCATTGCCAGAGTTGCTGTTTCGCATTTCTTTTCGCCGATAGAACGCAATATGAACATGTGATTAGAAATACATTAACAAGTACCTGTTACTCTGAGTATCCTGAAGTACTTTTATGAACAATTCAAAGTAAGATCATCATTTCTGAGTAAGCTTATTGAAGCAACCTGAATTGTTTTCACTATAGTGGCAGATTATCCTACTCTGGAAAGCTAGTAACTTATTGAGAGAGGGCTAAGTATTCCCATAAAGCCTGAAGTTGATATTTATCATTTTCAAGGTAAAATTCTTACCTATGATAATTTCTATTCACTTTAGTTCAGATTATTCGTGCTTCAAAAATTATAGATTTCCTACTTCAGTATTGATATTTGATTGAGTTTATTTAAGGAGAGAAGAAACATCAAACATTGATTTACTAGACAGCATGGACTCGTAAATGCTGCATTCATAAACTTACTTCTGTGCTAGTAGAGTAGACTATATTCACTTTCAGATATTTGCCATCTAATACTCATAGTGACCCAAAAACCAGTTTAAATCTGTTTGAAAACTGGTTTTCCGTTAATCAGCTGTCGCCCCCATACGAACGACAACTCTCAGAAGTTGACAAACTTGTGCGAGCTAAGAACTAACGATGTCTTACCTTTCAACGTGTGATTCCTAACACGGTTTGCACACAATCAATTCATGATACCGAGCTTAGCAATTATATGGGTAGATAGGTACGTCCAAAGTGAGTGGATGGATGTTTTCGGCCATCCACTCCTCATTCAAACTCGACCAAATAACTCCAGCATCTTAAGAAGCGGGTTACTACATTTGGTGACTGATATTTCATGTCAGCTGGCAAAAGTTAGGACACTGCCAAACATTAACAACTCAATCCGGTCCGCGGCAGGATAGACATATAGTATGTGCTCTACTATATTATGGCCAGAATTTCCTTATAGTGAAAAATAATTCACACTAAGGTGGACAGACCATGGTCCATTTTCCTCAGTCTGGTGAGGCTTGTAACTGAATCTCCTGCATTCAGAGAGACACCCTCCCATCACTGCAAGATATAGTATGGGGCATATTTCATTGAGATCAATGGGTTATTATTGAACGTTAAGCAAAACTGAATTCCACATAAAAAAAACAATCTGATATAGGAATTTTTTGTGCTACATATATTTAACATCAAAAATGAGAAATAAAACTTTTATTTGTAACTTTCGTTACTGCAGTTTCGTCCTATGGGTATAGACTTGTTCAGACTAATACAATAAAACTGTTTAAAACTGTTCATGGAGAACGAAACTGCAGTAACGATAGCTTAAAATAAAAATGGTAAAAAACATAGAAAGTTTCGTTTCCCATTTTTCATGATAATCTTCTACCACGTAGTAACGGCTACATCAATTAATATATGTTTAACATAATCATCCTTCTGTTGGTCGCAATTTAAAGTACCTAGTTGTACAGAAGGGTACATCTTCATTTTTTCTCTCTGAATATATCATTTCATGGCTTCGCCTATTATTTGATAACGTTACACGTTATTTTTTTAGAGATTCTGCAGTTTCGTTCATTAATCTCACGGTACGTTCTGATCCCTAAATGCAAGTTCACTTCTTTTCCATTTGGGACTGTTTAATGATGGAAACACATTTTTTAAATTACATTTGTATCGTAATTATGTTTTTCATGAAACATAATAGATGTGTTTGCTTAATTTTTTCTCATTTTTTTAGGTTTCTTCTCCAGCAGATAGTGGAATTGCTAGTCCAAGTCTTCAGGTATATAATATAGTTTTAGTTCTCGTAATGAGGGTTGAAATATTAATTTCATTCTCAATCTAATGAAAACATTTACTAGATATTCTAATTCTACCGTCAAGCAGACGAAACTATCCGTTCAGTTTTCAAAATATAGAATCAAACAATTTTGATTTTGAATAAGATAAGGGGCGAAACCTCTAAAATAACTGATAAGTACCAATATCTGAATATGAAATTTGGAAAAAATGTAAATTCTTAAGCTGGATTTTTTATCACCATTCAACTCATACACAAATAAGAGAAATATATTCATTGGAGATTTCAGGGTTCTTCAGTTATCTTGGCTCACGTTTCTGAATGAAACAGGATAACATATTCTCTCTAGTAGAAGGATCAGCCTTCACTTACTCTTTGGATCAGCTCCTAAATTTATTTGTAATCATGCCAAGTAACGTATTACAATCATGCAATTGCAAAATAATATTTAATTTACATTTTTGTGGATAGACATTCAAACTGGAACTGAAAAATATCTAAAAAAAAATGCATACTAGCAGTATTGTATACTCTACATTTTTCCAATTCAAACAATTGTATTTTTGAATGATTGTGATGTTGCTCCTGATCTATGACAGGGATGTTTATATGTGAGTTCGGTTCACCGCAGCATGGAAAGTATAATTTCCACAGAAATACTCAACCCAAACTCTTCTTCAAGTTCAGCAGTATTGATGTTGAATTTTTTTAAGAATACTGAGGTCGAGTCTCCGTTTTTTAAGTGATAGTTGTGACAATATGCTTTATACTTCATGAAGTTATTCTGAACCATTTCAAAATTCTGGATCTGACAGAGAAAGCGACCGATCTATGGAGGTACTAATCTTTCCTATAAAAATTTCTCTCCAATCAAATAAATAGAAATAATAAGAAAGGAGTATTGTTAAAGATATATTCGAAGTCAGAGATAAATAATTCAAAGGGGATCCCTGAAGAATTCCAGAAGTGACCGTTACTGTTACTGGGAAATCAATTTACTATTTATGAAACCACCAATATGATTTGAAGAATAGCTCTCAAACCAATTTTCAGTGACTCCATGTACGCATGCAGTTCAGCAGGAATCGATTAGCTGAACGAAATGATTTGAAATAATTTTTGTGTATATAGAATCAACTTATAATTTGTCATCTAATGCTTAGCAATGTCATTTTGATAATTTAATAGCAATGTGATTAATTCAATTTGATTAATTTTTTTGAAATCCCAAGTTCATGTCTGTGTAACTAACGACAAGTTTAGAAATTCAGATAGGATGCTAATTCTTCTAGTATTAAATATCTTCCTCTTATAATAGGGGAGCCCAAGCGGGGATTTCGGGATTTACTAAAGCGCAGCAGATTAATATACAGGGGGATAACTTGTACCCGGTTAAGTACCTCCACCAAATATGAGCCCCATATATAAGGCCACCTGTAAGGGATAAAGGATCAGATTAGTAAATGAAAATTGATCATCAGAAATTCTCGAGCGCGTCAGATTAAGGTAGGGTGAGGTAATTACCTGCTAAAAAGTGCATATTCCAGTAATCTGACAATTTGAGAGTGACGTAATGGAAAGGGAGGGCAGCAAAGTTGTAAAACAAACATTTTTTTTTCTTCTTATCATCTAAGCTTTGCAATCTGATATGTCTCTATGACGCTCGAGTAAATCCCCATTTTGCATCGTGGGCTCCCCTACTACTTGTAATACATTATACAGCTTTGTTGGATGAAATAGTTTGATCAACAGTAAGTTCGATTATCATAACTCCTTGTTTAATTGGAACCGATTTTCCAATTCTTTCTGAGTTATCATTTTGTAGCTGCCCCCTGAATCACTGATCCTGTTTTGAAGACATGGAATGTTTTCAATATGCTCAGGACACAATGACAACAAAAAAGTAGCATTACAATTCGGATGACTTGGATAGTGTTCGGCTGTACTTTCATGACTTTTCTCCTCGAAAAAAATAGAATTGAGTCATTATGATCGGAGTGGAGACCTAGAATACCAAAAGTGACAAAATAGACCAAGAAAAATTTCAACATAACCGTGAATTTTTCGGCTTTTTCACAAATGTTTTTGTATACTTCGACAAGAAATTCTGGAAATATCTGGGACATTTGTGAAACATTTGACCATTCGTGGAACTAGAGACTTCTCTGGAAATTTCTTGGCTAAGGCTCATTCGTACTGGGTTGGTTATTGTTCAACTCTCTTTCAGGCAAGTGTTGAATTATCTTGTGATACATGTATCATCTCGCAGCCTTGTTCAGATTCAATTCTTGCACATACTCTGTTTCTGCCTCACACAAATAGCACCTTCAACGATACCAAGCGAAGCAATGAGGGTTTCATATTTGAAATTTCAAATTTTATATTATTAGAATCAGGTATAAAATTCATTCGAGAACTTAAAAAATAACGAATGAATTCAGACATCGTAGCTTGATTGGTAGAATTGGAATCTCTAGCGTAAAATGAATTCTTTAAAAACACTTTCCTAACAAAACTACAAAGTATATCTCATAATCATCATTATTTGTTTGAATTGGAAGGGGTATATTATCAGGGGACATTAGGTTTTGAATTTCTATACAGTCATTCTCACACTTCCAAATGGAAGAAGAAAGCAATTGATTTCAAAACAAACTCTTCAAAAAGATGTGTAGATCATGCAAAAAAGATACTTTCAGATACATACTGAAAGAAAATGCCCTCCCGAAACAATTGCCTCAAATGATTATTGAATGATACAAAACCACTTCTTCCTTTTCTGTTTGTATTCCAAACATTCGTTTAGAAATTGAATAATGTATCTTTATATACTATACTATAATTAAAATAAAATGTTCAAGGGACGTACTCCTGAGACAATTTCAAAAAAGTCTATGTAAACTTGTGTCTAGAAATACTCCATTTCGGATATACAGGGTGTTGAAACTGAATTTTTTTGTTCGTTTTTTAAAAATAATTTTTGCAAAAAACATGCACGAAATGTGGTACTCGGGTTTTTTTGACGTGAGAAATCATAAGTTTTCATTAATTTCCATGAAACATCTAGAGGGCGCTACGCACGCTGTCATTATTTATTTCAAATTGCCTTAATTTTTTTGACAGTAAACTCTTGGTATTTTGCATGAAAAAACCTAATTGTCACACCTTTTTCAAGTAAAAAAGGTACACCTTCCCATTAACTTCGTTTTCGATATATTTACAATTTTCTGTATCGATGTATATTACTTAGCTTCTTGGGCGCTAAGTGAAGTTGCTGAGAACATCACAAAAATTAAGAACAAATACAGATACAAATACAAATTTTTGAAAGTTTTCAAACATGGTTGGTTTTTGTCATAAGTTTCTTTGTAATTTTAGTCATTTGTATCTCGAAAACCAATTTTTTCGACAAACATCTTGTAGAGATCCACCACATACGTAGTTTTTGTAATGTTCAAAAAAGTTAGGGCAATTTGAAATGAATGATGACATCGTACGCAGCGCTCTCTAGACATTACATAAAAATTGATACGAAATTATGATTTCCCACCTCAAAAAACCCCAGGTACCAAATTTCGTGCAAAAAATAAGTTATTTTTAGAAAACGAACAAAAAAATTAAATTTCAACACCCTGTATCTCCGAAACGAAACATTTCCTGACATATATTTAAATACTTTTTCTTAAAATTGTCTCAGGAATACGTCAGTTGAATATTTTAACGTATTTATGTTATACCCTGTATAGTATTTACTATATTATGTAGCGTTCAATTCCATAACAAACGTTTGTGGAATACAAACTGGATAGAAAAAACTGTTTTTTGTATAATTCAATATTCATATGAAAGTGATTGTTTTGAGAGGGCTTTTTCCAGTTTGGCTTTGTTGATATATTTTCATTGCGCCTGTTATTCATAAACAAGCCTGCATCTTTTGCAATCATTATGGATGGACTGACCCGTAACTTGATGAAAATTAATAACAATATCCGTGATAATAACTACACAATTTTCAAAAACTTCTGAGAGTTGTCGTTCGTAGGTGTGCCACACTTGGTTAATGGAAAAACAGATTTTGAACAGATTTTTCTAGATGTGTTTCGCTAATAGCGTAACTTCCTCAGTAGAAAAAATAATGAAAAAAAAAAGAAATATAGGGAACATATACATATATTTCAATTCTGTGTTCTACATCAGTGATTCACTTATTATTTGATTGTCTATGCTAATTCAATATTATTAATTATCAATTTTATGTAATTTCAGGAAGAGTGCAGTGAACTTGTTTATGTAGATAGACTGTGCATTTGTGAAAAGCCAGCAGAATATCTCTGTAAGTGCAGAATGGTCATGTACTGCAGTGCATCATGCCAAGTAAGTTAAAAACATAATTTTACTTATTACATGCAGGTATATTGAATAACAAACGTTTTTATATGAACCATTTGTTAAATGAAAACCATTTGAGAAGCGATTTAAATGATGTTTATGTATGAATGTAGAGGACATCAGTTACAGATAAAAAATTGATGATGGTTCCGTTAATAATACCATAAAATAGAGATTGTTCCAAAAGTTTTGTCTGTTTTTATGAGTTTATTTCAAACTGTAATATATCAGTGAATTCTCATTCAATTTAATCGAACTCATTCAGAACTTCGACGCTCAATTCGTTTGAGTTTTGTACGGTGATTTGTAAAACGTGCGGACAGGCGTTGTTGTAAAGCAGGATCGGACCTCTTCCGTTGATAAGTGCCGACTTTCGCTGACGCAATTTTCGTTACATCTCGTTGATTTCCCCACAATAGGACTCTTCTGTGATGGTATAGCCTGGTTACATACAGAAAGTTATAATGAATCACATCAGTCGCTGATCACCATTCAGTAACCATGGTTTTTTTTGCTGGTTTTCTGTCTTTGGGAAGTGCTTTATCGGTGTTCAATCACTCTCCTGAATCACTTCTGTTGTCGTAGAGGATTCACTTTTTATCATACGTGGTGATCACATCCAAAAAAGGATCGGATGACCTTTCCAATACGTTTCAAACCATCAAAAACCGCATAGGAATTGACCCACACTTTTTTCGCCATCCCACGCACCGTTGGTAATGGGTCAGTCTCCACCAGGTTACCCAAATTGTCGTCCTGGATTACTGTAGGTCGACCACTTCGGGACTCATCTTCAAGGCGAACGGAACGAAATTTCGCAAACCAAATTCGAACAGTGCATTCATTAACACTATCATCATATAACTTTAGAATGTGGTTCTGAAGAAATTAGTGAATCGGGTAAAATTGCTGAATCATTCGGGAACTACTTCTCCACGATTGGTTTAAACAGTACTCCCAAATATATGGGCAACATATGGCTTGCACCAACATCCCCTTTGCTAATATTACTGGTCCTTTCAATAATGATCCAATTACTGAAAATGAAATCTGTCACACCCTAAGCTCAATGAAAAATAAATTGTCAACAGGTATAGATGATGTATCTATAGTAAATATTTAAATATTTCATCTGTAGTACAAAATTTCGCTAACACTTATAATTCTTAAAATATGTTTTTTTATTTTGATTTTCTTTTGAACAACCTATCAAGGAGATTACGTATAGCGCCATCTGCCCGCGAATAGCTCAAGCGAAGTTGATTCTTACTGTTATTTTCTATTCATTCACTATTATATTTTTATGCTTTATAGTTTTTATATTTTCATACTTACATTTATGTGTTGCATGAGAATATTCATTATTATTATTATTCATTTCAATATGTAGCATATATATTATCACTTTCTGACTACTTTTTCACCCCAAAATGCTGAAATCACCAAATGTTCAAATATTACTTTCAATTTGTATAACTTATTTAAAATAATAACATTTTGACAATAATATTTTATCTTCGACAATATCTTTCGAGTTGTGTATCTTATATTTCTTAGAAAAGTAACACTTTGTCAATGAGATTTCATCTTCAACAATGAAGTACATTTTGATTTGATTGCAATAATTGATTGTTACGTACAGCGCCACCTGCCCGCGAATAGATCAAGAAATATCAATTAGGTTACGAACAGCGTCATCTGCCCGCGAATAGATCAAGCAATAATGCCGATAATTCTGTCAATACAGATTCCGATCTTGAGAGTTACACACAAACATGCATACAAATAATCATACATACATACAGGTGAAGCTAATATAAAGCGTGTAAAAAGGGAATAGTAGTGATATCGATAACTACAGGCAAATCTCACAGATTAACGGATAACTTGGAAAATAATATTTTTCTCTGCACAAATCAGCATGGTTTTAGGAGAAACCGTTCAGTAGAAACATCATATCAAAATCTGATCAATTATATCTACACAGAAGTCGAGTCTAGCCATTTTGTATTCGCGACTCAACCATGGCTTTCCATATGGTCTCATAGAAATTGCTAATGGAGAAGTTGACGGTGTTTCAACTTCCACAAAACCTAGTCAAGTGGATAGAGTCCTACATGAAAAATCGCAACATGATTCTGAAGTATCATGATGTTTTATCCAAATCTTTCAACTTAAACTCAGGTGTTCCCCAGGAATCGGTATTCGAACCCCTATTGTTTCTTATTTTTATCAATGATTTGCCGGCACACTTATCAAATTGTCAAATCACAATGTTTGCTGATGTTACGACTATCACTGTATCAGGAAGAGATCTCAAAATATTGATAGAAGAAATCAATTGTTTGATTGAAAAATTCTCAGAATGGTGTCAACTCAACCACCTCATCGTAAACACTACCAAATCTGTTTCTATACGATTCTATAACAGAAGGAGCATCACTTACTTGATGTTGATGTTGTAACTGATGCTAAATTTCTGGGTACACTTTTGGATGAACAACTCACTTGGGATTTACATATCAGTAGTGTACGTTGTAAATTAAACAAGGCATATTTTGTAATAAAACAGATGAAGAAATAAGTATAAGCAGGTCAAGTCTTCCGTGTGTCTACTATGCAATGGCGTATTCACACATTTCTTGTCTTGGGGAAGTGCAAAAAACTTCACCAGGATCTTTGTATTACAGAAACGACTAGTGAGACTGATATTTGACATGAACTACTTAGAAAGTTGTAGGCCAGTATTCATTAGAGAAAGGCTTCTGTCAGCTCCCTGCATATACATATATAAATATGTGAACTACACCAGAAAAAACGCGTCACTGCTTGAAAAAACCTCATCATGTCATGAATATCCAGGAAAACTATCGAGTCGCCGCATGTGTATGTACGAAAGAAGTTCATACAATTTCATTTTCTGACAGTTCTTCAATGATTTGTTTCAAGTAATTTAATATTCAGTCATTTCAGTTTTTGATTCCAACTTCTTTATATTGCAGAAATAATTTGAACATTTTTTCTATTGTGAAAGGGAATAAATTAATTAGCTAAACCAAATTTTTTTTTTTCAGGCCAGGGATTGGAAGGATCATAGATCTATTTGTCTAAAATACAGCATCAGATTCAAGGACAATAATCAAATTGTGCAATAAGCCTGCCTTGGTCAGTTTTGTTATGAATAATAAGTATTATTAGTTAGTATTATGTTTGAAGGAAACTTGAGAACATGTACAGTTTGTTAGGAATTTTATCCACATGTGATATTTTCTCATATTGTTGTATTATAAAATTGTATCTATGAAGTATAGATATAGGTTTTTTTGTTACATTTATATTTATATATATTAATACAGAATCCGATTTCTTATGACTGATTCAATATCATTTTATGTTGAAATTTGTTTCAGAATTGTAGATGAATATTCAATTTCTTTGGAACTTAAAACTGAGGAATTAACATTAATTTTGAGTTTTATTCGAAAGTTATACTGAGAAAATGCAATATTTGCAAAAATTTTGTTATTCTAATAAAAAAATTATATGTAATACACACAGTATTGAAATCATGTTATTCATGTACATGAAGTTTATTGTTGTTTATGAGAGTGATGATTATATGCAATATTATTAGAATATAAGTACTTAATTTCATTTGTACTAGAATTATTACCAAAAATGTTTTTTATCATCCAGACTTCTTATTTGCAAGAGATATTATATGCCTCAGAAGTTTTTCTAGTTGGTTCCAAACTTCTCAACTTGAAGTTTTTTGGTTGGTATCAAATTTGTGAATCGGTAACACTAAAAATAGAGCACAATTCAAAAGAAATACATATTATTCTAATTGTTGGTTCCCAAAGAGTAAATTTATTCTGAGGTGTATGTTGTTTTATTTATTTCATCTTCCACTTTTATTTCCCAGAATATTTCGTTTTACGTTCGAACTTCAATTTTTCACCCCCTTAATTTTTTCATTAAATTTTCAATATTTAATTCATTATGGATGTACCTGAACATTTACAATTACTTTGTTTTCTCATGAAACTTCATTTTTGTTTTGTAACTAGAAGAAATTAACAGAATATAATTGAATTTATAGAATCGATGAAAACAATTTGAATAATATATCTTGTCACTGGATTTTACTGTACCTAGAGTTTTAGGAAATATATTACCTCCACGAATGCCCTACCAGCTTTTCAACAGTGGAGACGGAAGTGGTTACAAAGAAAGAAGAAAGGAGTAAATTAATTTGCCAATCTTTTGTTGAAAGTTATGGGAAAGAGAGCGTCGGTCAAATACAGGGTGTAACTGAATAAGTGTAAAACATTTGAGGAGGTGACTCCTCATCGAAAAAAATACAGGATCTTTCATATAAAGAAATTTCATCTCTTGTTAAAATACAGCCCCTTGAAGGGTGTACATAAAATTTGTATAACAATTTTTTTCATAAGCACTGAAAATATTGAAAATAGTGAAATCAACCTGACGTTTTGTACTACCAAAAAGACACTCAGCCAGTAATTTATTTGGTTTACCCCATGGTTGTAAGGGGTGGAAAACGCAACCCCTAAAATTTATTTCCATTGTAACTTTTTGTCTTATTATGTGTTTACCATTAAAAAATTATAATTCTAAACAAAAAATGTCTCTTGGGTTTTTTGCCCAAAATAAACCAGTTCGCAGCAAAAAGTTATTTTACGAACAACTACAGAGATACATCGTCATAAATGCGAACTGGATTTATTTTTATTTTGTAGTTAGTACCTGCATTAAACGATTAAAGGGTAATAAACAAAACTAATTTATCAACAACAAAACACACAATATGTAGAAATCATAGTAAATGTTCAATATGTCTTCCTTCAGATATTACGCATGCGTCTAGACGTCTGGGCATTGAGCCACGTATTCGCTCAAATATTCCTGGAGTCTCTCTGATGACCCTGCACGCATCGAGATGCGGTTTCTTAAGTCCTCTACATCGCGAACAGGAGTACGATAAATCAAATGCTGTAAATGGCCCCAAATTTTTGCATATGTTTCAGTTAATTGCTGACATAAAATGGGCGGGAGCCCCATCATGCATAAAAAAATATCCCTTCTGACGCCCAAAGGAACTTCCTCCAGCAGTACTGGATGCACTTCTCTTAAAAATTGAACGTATGCCTCACCATTTAATCGAGGAGGTAGAAAATTAGGCCCAATTAAATCATCCCCAATAACTCCGAGCCACACGTTAAGAGAAAACTGTTCTTGATGGTTAGTTTCGACAATAGCGTGAGGGTTTTCATCAGCCCATATGTGGTAATTATGAAAATCAATAATCTTGTCCCGAGAAAAACAACATTCGTCTGTGAATTCTATCGTCTTCAGAAAGTCACAAAGTCACAATTTTTTTCTAATAATTTCCAGCATCCAATTGCAAAATTCAAGACGGTTCGGAAAGTCTCGCGGTAACAGTACCTGTACTCGTTGCAGATGGTAAGGGTGTAAGAGTTGTTCCTTTAAAATTCGAAATACCGTCATATGATCAACATTTAGCTGGAAAGCAATCTTTCTAGTACTGGTAGTAGGTTGTTCTTCAATCAAATTAGGTACTGCTTCCTCAAGCTGTGGTGTTCGTACTTCTCGATGGCGACCACAATCCTGCGTTCTTTTGTCGAATGAACCATATTCTCGTAATCGTTGATGAAGTCAAGTAAATATTCTAGGTGAAGGATGCTGCCGTTGAGAATATATTTCAGCATATCTTCTAGAAGCTTCTAATCCATTCCCCTGCGACAGACCGTAAACGTAATGCATATCAGCCATTTCCTCATTTGTGTATGCCATTTTAATAACAAGTGAATTATTAAAGTAACAAATTAAGAACAGAACAACAACACACAATTAGTATTAATTCAATTTCGAAAATTCACGAACTGACAGCGTCATATCAATTTGTCACTATCGCTAATAACGACATACTAGATAGATTAGTTTCGGATTTTCGCATTTATGACGATGTATCTCTGTAGTTGTTCCTAAAATATTTTTTTGCTGCGAGCTGGTTTATTTTTGGCAAAATATCCAGGAGACATTTTTTGTTTAGAATGAAATAGGCTATTGGAAATAAATTTTTTGATGGTAAACAAATAATAAGACAAAAAGTTACATTGGAAATAAATTTTAGGGGTTGCGTTTTCCACCCCTTACAACCATGGGGTAAACCAAATCAATTTCTGGCTAAGTGTCTTTTTGGCAGTAGAAAACGCTAGGTTAATTTCAATATTGTAACTTTTTCAGTGCTTGTGAAAAAAATTGTTAAACACATTTCATGAACCCCCTTCAAGGGGCTTTATCTTAACAAGGGATGCTTTAATGAAATTTCTTTATATGAAAGATCCTATCTATTTTTCGATGAGGAATCACCTCTTTAAATGTTTTACACTTATTCAGTTACACCCTGTTTAAAGAAAGACAGTTATTTTTTTTACAGTAATAGAAGGTAAAGAAAAATTGTAACGAAGATTGTCAGATCTAACTTCCGTGACCAATCTACAAAATTTGATTTCTTCACAAGGAAAAATAAATTATATCAAGATGAACGATTTTGTCACAATAATTTTCTTGTTGTCTAATTCGATGGATAAATTATCTACCCTTAAGTATTCACCATCGGTTTACAGCTGTTTAAAGGTAGCAAAGGTTTTAAAATTCCAATTACAACACACTAAAATAAGTAAAAGTACTTTATAGCTAGGTGAAGTGGGTAACGCCGTAGCACTGACAGTTTTGGTAGTGCTATTCCTGTGATGCCAATGCGTCCAGTTCAGACCCAAATGAACGATAAAAAGGAACAATATTACCTTCTTTGAAACATGAGGCTTACGATCATCCGCTTTTATGTCGCTACAAACAGTGGTGAGTCATCCAGGAGTCCAAGAAGTGGAGATTCGCCAACCGATATTCTCAAAGTTGGGGAGATTTTAAGGGCGTTATCAATTAACAACGAACATGCAAATGGAAAAGGGAGGCCTAAAAATTCATACATGTCTAAACATAATTTCTTGCAAGCAAGAAGGTCGTATCAATAAAACACAAAATGTTTGTTCATACCTGAGATGGAGTGTGGGCCTTTTGAGATGTCCGAGTTCTTCGACAAGGTAAACTTCAATTTGAAAGTTTCAAGTAATTCCTACATAAATCCTACGACAGTAGGATTTATGTAGGAATTACTTGTAGGAATTATTCAGGAATACTTTGAAACCTCCTTTAAAATCCGCAAAATTGCAATGTTCTTTCCGTGTCGGGTCCAAAACCAAGAAAAGAAGGAAGAGACGTTTTCTTTCTGAAGTTTCGAAATGTCGAAATGACATGAACTGTCATAAAAGACAAATGAATTATTTAGAAAAAAAACGATATCTTATAAATAAACTTTGTGAATCTGCCGATTCCAGCAAATACGAAGACTCGTTTCATATTCCTGTCATATACAGGGTCATAATAAATCGTAATACGAAATGAGTTATTTTTGTTATATCTCAAGTAAACTATGAACTATGTGGAATTTTATATACTTTCCTTATCTCCATTATAAAATCTACTGGGGGTTCACTAACAATTGAGGTAGTGATTTCTAAACCGTAACAAATAGTTTTGATGTACATGAAGCTATCAACTTTGATGAAGGAACTTTTGTTAAAAGAGACGTCACAGTCAGTGCACGGATGACTGCATTTTGCACTGTAAGACAATCTACTAATCTTTCAATTTCCCCAGGGGTCCATATTGTCTTCAACCCTCTTTTCATTGTATATCAACGACTCATTGGAAAATACCAAGAATCCAATATATTGTTCTGCTGACGACAGCATACTCGTCTCGTCGTTACATTTGGATTCCAGGACATCGGCTGCAGATGCACATCTTCACCAGCAGCAGGAGGTTGATTATCTTAAGAAGGATCTAGAAGTAATTTCGAATTGGGGTGAAAGTAACCTTGATAGTCTAGAACATCGAAGAAAGGTTGGATATTTGTCTTTTTCTACAGATACTTCCATCAAATTACAGGGCTTAACTAATAGACTAGTAGCATACTTTGAAAAAGATGCAAATTCAAGATGGCCGCAGGTACAAAATTATAGTCAGTCAGTACTGAATGAACTAGACAGAATGAGAAGAATTGAGTAACAAAATTAGAAACTAAAAACCTGAAAATAAAATGAGTAAAAAAATATGTTGAACGGTTTTATTGAGAAAAAAAATGTTGTAGGTACATAATGTACTAAAAACTAAAAAAGTGATTCGGAAGGTCCTAGGTGTATTTGCCTATATTCGATGTATAAGAAAAACATTTTGCAAACTACAAATCCGGTTAACCAAATTTCCAGACGAATCAACTGAAGAGTATTTTTTAGTATATTTTTATCCAACAAATGTTTGACGTGATTCTTGGAGTCGACATAAAGATCCCATAGATGGCGTCTTTGTGGGGTTATATGTCATCGATCGGGCTTACTTACTCGGGCTTGTTCTTCAAGGACAGTTGAGTCCAGTAACACATTTGGGGTTCAGTATGGCACCACTATGGCAGGTCTAAACAGCGCTATTTTGTGTTAATCATAAATGCGTTGTGTTTGGTCTCTGGTTTTCAAATAGGTGCCTTGCAGTGAAAGACAGAGAATGAATCTTGTCGGAGGTCGATGCCGAAGCCTTGCTCGGCATCTGCTCGCCTATTTTATCTTTGGTACAACCAGACAAATTCTCAAAATCAATGTTACGGTTCCTATTGCGTTAACAAAAACGCCCAATAATAGTTTTTTCAAATATCTTTCATATATGAACAGCGAATAGTTCAGTTTCATTATAAAATTTGTTGATATTTAAGATTGATGTTCAAATATATCAATATTGTATGGTTCCAACTTATTTTCTTGAGTTATCACAAAATAGCGAAGTAATTAACTGCCCGCTTTTATTTTCATTCCTGACAATGATATCTTGGGAGAATTATTTTGTATTTTTCTTGTAAGAACGATGTTTTGTCCATGAAATTAATCATTCAACAACGAATTCAGTGTACTCCTTTTTTATTATCAATATTTACACTCTCTGAGGAGTTTTTATGCTATTAGACCACTATACTTTTGCGATGAGCGGTTTTTTTCTTGGTCCTGAAGCATTTCCACAAACCATACCGTGCTTCCCAGTCTTCAAAAAACAATTCAGGCTTGTTCCACAGTACATGATGTTGGGCATATTCATAGTGGGCTTTCAAGGGTGGATTCAAATGTGGAGCCCATTCTGCTCTGCGTTCCATGATAGTGTTGACGTAATCGTAGAAAACCTGAAAAATACTCATTTAAGTATATACGTGTGGTACTCAGTTTCATATTGCTGCATCAAAAAGTTGAATGACTCCCAACATTTTGAGAGTAATGAAGTTCAAGTTTTTCACAATTTCAAGGTACACGGGGTACAGTGTAACGTTCGGTTCTGCAAATGTGTACGATGTAGCAAGGCACTGGAATAGAACTCACTTTCGGCTGAGCTTATGACCTGTTAGGTACTGTACGGACACTTTTTGTTTTGTGAAGTGCCGAATACGTTGAAAGTAGGTTTTTATATTTTTTCAAGTCGAAAGTAATTTTTATGGTTGATTTGAAAATTGTATTTTACTGCTTTCATAATAAAATATCATGAAAATTTGAGTTTATAGCTTAAAAGGCATGTTCGTGGGTTAGTGTTACTTATGAAACATAACCTGTATCTGTAGAGTAGGGAGGGTGAGTGTAGGCCTACAGCACTTAGGCCACATGTGACCCCATTGTACTTCCTCCCGAGGAGTTGTCCTCCTAGGTCATCGTCCATCCTGTCTTTTCCAGGAAGGTGGACAGGTCACTGGGAGACATCTCCTTTATATCGGCAGATGTGGGCCAAGACTTGCCGAACACACACTCTCTTATTGACGATAACTCCGGACACACGCATAGGACATGCCTGACAGTTTCATTTTCCTGTTCACACATCCTGCATAGAGGTGTGCCCACTAGCCCCATACTATGGAGGTGTTTCCTTAGTTGACAGTGGCCAGTCAGAAATCCTACTGTTAGGCGTATATTTTTCCTGATTATCGCCGGATATTTCTTTGGCGACAGCTTCCCAGGGTCGCCCAGGGTGATCCTGACAAGATTGAATGCTTTGATTTCATTCCATCTCTTTAGGGATTGAACATGAGTGTGACGTTTGGCTAGTTCCGCAATTGTCGAAGTCATCAGGCCGTAGGTGCCACTGGGTCCTGAAATTCTTCTCCAGCCGCTTCCTTGGCTGCGGCAATACGATTACCTTCATCCCTGTCGTGCCCTTTAACCCACCTCAGGATAATGGTTCTCTATCGAGGCTCTGGCAAAATCTTGGTGGCACTTTAGTACTAGTCCTGAGGTAGCTCGGTGTCTGTTCAAGGCAAATAGGGCTTGTCTGCTATCAGTGCAGATTGTTATGTTTTTGCCAGAAATTCCTTTCCCCTGGTTATTTCTTTGGTAGCGATTGAGATGCCAGCCAGTTCTGTTTGAACCACACTGGTATTTTTCCCATTCTACACCCAATCCTTAAGCTTAGTAATCGGGAGTACACTCCATATCCTGAGCCTTCTTTGGTTTTTGAGCCGTTTGTATAAATGCGTATTGCATTTGTAGCATCTGACTATATGTTCTGTTTTATTTGTATTTTGTAGGGTTTATAAAACACAAATCTGGGTTCAATTGCATCACTGGTTGCCTACAGCAGAGGTGGCGCAGTAAGCGCTTCTCGCCATAGGCTCAGCCTCAATTGACCTACTTCGAGGTTTACATCAGTCGTGCGCAATCGTCACATGGCCATCAACGCAACCCTCTTAACGTACAGGTTCAGAGGGTTCAGACCATGAAACATAACCTAAAACATTTTTGAAATCGGCATTTGATGACGAAAATTCGACTGGGGTACAGTGTTACACTTTACTAGGGGACACAGTATTACATGTAACACTGTAACGTTCTTTCAGAAATGGTACGAAATAGAGAAGAAAATAGAAAAATTTCCAATTTCCATAGGAAATCTATGGCATGGGCTGTGTTAAACGTCATTAATAATGGAATTTCTATCCGATCAGCAATACGGAACGAAAGATTAGTACACATGACACTAAAAAGGTACGTTGATGAATACAAAAAATGTTTTCGATGCAGACCATGCCAACTCACGTTTTAAGCCTAATTACGAGATGAATAAAATATTTTGTAATCAACTCGAACAACAATAATGAGAGTATCTTTTTGCTGCCTGTCGCATGCACCAGGGTTTAACTGGAAAAAAATGTGATATCTTTGGCTAATGACTTTGTCAAGAAAAATAATTTAAAATATCCGGCTAACTGGGACAGAAATCAGGAAGCTGGTGTTGATTGGTTAAACGGATTTATGAAGCGGAATTCAACTTCAGCTATACGAAATCCAGAAGCTACCAGCCTAGGGCGCGCAACAAGTTACAACCGTCATTCGTCAAGATAATATTTTTTTATAAAGAAAATATAAATATTTCAAGAAACAAACATTCACGAAGTACCATGCCCCTGTTCAAGGACTAGATACAAAATGGAATCGTTATTTTGTGTAACACTGTGCCCCTACTTTCCCTATTCTATGTTTGAATAAGTTCAAAATATGATTTTCCGTTAACCAGCTGTCGCACCCTTACGAACGACAACCCTCAGAAGTCGAAAGTTGTGCGAGCTAAGGATTAACGAGGTCTTACCTTTTAACGTGTGATTCCTAACACGGGTTGGATGATAGAAAGTGAAACTCGATCGTTCAGACTAGGGCTTGAACCACCGACCAACACGGCAGTCAATTCGAGTGAGTGAACAAAGCACCCCCATCGAACCGCCTGGCTACCGACCGTCCAAAATATGAATATTAATTTATGAAAACTGCTACTCAACGTAATTTAGTTAGTTTGAAATTGTTTGAAAATGTTTTATGGTGAATTTCATTAGTTCAGACTTCCATTGTCTAATATGATATAACATGATTTGAAATCCCTGAAAGAACAAATAAAATTGAAACGTGAATTGAATAGCTGAAAATAACAATTACTTACATAAAAACCCTGAATATAATCACAATAAAAGAACAAATAAGCAAAATTGAACAATTAAAATGTAATATAAGTTAGAAGATTTCAAGCCAAATTACCTCACACAAGTCACTCCACACAAGTAACAAATTTTATTTTTATTTCATTATAATTGAGCAATTTTGAATTTTTTGCTCATTTTTTATTTTATTGTATTTACATTTCAGAGTTTCTGCTCAATATAATTGTTATTTTCAGATATTTATTTCAATTTTTAATTTTATTTGTTCTTTCGGGTTCTATCAGGATGATATAATATGAATATCATATTAGATAATGGAAATCTGTCCTAATGAAAATTCGTTAGTTAGTTAACATACGAAATATTAGTTTGCAGAAGGATCAATGACCCTGTGGTCAGAAGACAGCGTTCATGTTCTGATGAGTAGAAAGTGTTTTTGAGTGGATTCATTTCACACCCGAGGTTTCAAATTCTACTCAACGAGCAACGTATTATTATGCTCATAGGTTTTTTGTGGACCATTTGTTAAAGAATATGTTCCATTGAGTATTGAAAAATATACAACATATGTTCTTAGTTTAATAACACATTACTCATTCACTATTATTATTTCATTGGAACGTTTTCGAAAAATTCGAAGTAAAATATAGTCTTGTACAGTAATCAATTTTTCTGGTCTGTTCCATCATAATTCGAACAATCCATATGTGTGGTTCATCCTTTCCAGAAAGATTTCGAAACATGAAACACGCGTTTTTTGTCAACTTTCTGGTCCACCTGGAAAACACATCCAATTGATTCTGACGTTCACAAACATTTTTAGCATTACATGTGTTCGTTTTTTGCAATTGCATAACTTATTGTTTGCATCATGGAATTAGTTGAATATACGATAGAATAAGTTTTATTTTTATTGATTGAAACTCTTTTCTACTGAGTAAATCCAGGAAAGTATGTCGTATGTTTACATATAATCAGGTATTTTCCTGTATTCTTTGGAATTACTTTAGTTTACTTCTCAGAGTAGTTTTTCATATATCATAGTGACCCATGAAAGAATGTCGATTTATTATCAATTCTCAAATCAGCATGTCACTTGCTATATTTATTCTAGTTATGAACCCGAGTTTGCTGACCCAGTATCGCCCACGGATAGAGTTACATCCGCTGTTCCAGACGCGACTTCATGTTAAGTCGACAAAATAAAGATTATAACCCGTGGGTTGGGCTACCTATCGGGCGCGTCCCCAGGTGGCGGATAGGGGAACGGCCAGGGGACTGGAGGTCCTATCCGGGAAGCCAATGTGGCCTAACGGACGGGGTTGACGGACTCCTGGTCAGTGGCAGAAATAAGTAGGGTGAGGGGAACTGAAACCCCCCAAAAGCCCTGCAAAACATGCCACCGCGGACCAGCCTACCCATACATGTGGCCTAAGTGCGTGGGCTTACACTCACCCTCCCTACTCTACAGATACAGATAAAGATTATAAATAAGTGTTAATTTGATAATCAGGTATATTTGATGAACTGTTGATGTTATATTAGTCAAAAATGAAGCCTTTTTATAAAAGTATTTTCGTATATCGCATATGTAACATGCTATACTATTTTTCACAAAAATTCCAAATTTTCTAACTTTTTTTGTTGTAATGAAGAAAAGAGAATTGAAACTTCCTATCTTTTTTACCACTTTCATTTGTAACTAACCTTACTGCAGTTTCGTCCTATAAGGACATTTTCAAACTTATACATTAAACTAACAATGATTTATTACATTAGCCGTTATATGCCCCTGTTTACAATCTGTTTTTTCGTTATTCAGCTGTCGCCCCCATACGAACAACAACTCTCATAAGTTGAGAAACTTGTGCGAGCTAAGGACTAACGAGGTCTTACCTTTTAACGTGTGATTCCTAACACGGGTGCAGAATCATCCCAGCTTCAACCAGATAAATTTTCTCGAAGAAAATATCTGGTCGAGGCGGGAATCGAACCCACGGTCTTCCGATCGTGAGTCGGGCGCACTACCACCGCGGCCAATTACACAACCTATAGGTAATTATACAGGTACTTTACTTGATTTAGTACCTGAATTTACAATTTACAATGCGGATGTGCCAATTTGAAAACCGATGACTAAACTAAATCGATTTGATCATTTAACAGGTTGCATCCGCAATAATTATGCTTGTGAATTTCCAAGGATTCTAAATATTTGAGTTTGTAACCTTTTCTTGCATAGTGCAAAATTTCCATATCGTTTAGATTCGGAAAGTTGTGGTTGCATGCCAAGGAATGGTTGAAAACGTCGAATCATTTTTTCCCAGTCTGAAGGACCTTTCATGTTCAGCATACCGTTTTTGGAAATTTTGACCACATTGTCCCACATAAACACTATCACACTCCGGACACTTAAGCCCCAGATTTCTCCAACTCGTCCACTTTATCTTTGGCATTGGAAAGGAAATCATATAATCTGGCATGTGGTCTGAAGGCCACTTCCACATTGTTTCTTCTGAAGAAACCCGCAATTATCTCTCTTCTTTTTCCAAAATATGTTAGAGTTACCCATTTCTTGATTTACTGTTGTTTGACCTGAGAGTATATTATTCTGTGAGTGAATTTACGGTTTTGTTTTCTGACTAACTTCTGGATAATATCTGCGTTGAAAGTATTATTATGACCTATCTGTGTAATTACGTCAACTTCCCTAGCTAGATTGTTAGCAGACAAAAGCAGTGAGAATGCTCTGTGCAACATTGGATTGTAGGCTGCTAATTTATGACTGTTATGAATTTATGACTGATGGATGGAAAGAATCGCTTGGGATGGTAATGTCTGTATAGCTAGGTTTTCTGACAACATGACCAAGAAACTGAAGGTGAACGACTATAGACAACGATGTGTGCTCGCTGAATGAGCTCTGAAGCAGTTGACAACTGACCCCCTAATTTTCATCGAAAAATCATCTTTATGCATTTTGGGATAAAGTCACTGGTTGGTGTGGATTTTGGGCTGGCGGCGTCATTGATCCATATCTCCTTGAGAAGACGGTGGCCAGGATATCACTGTCGAAGGTGAGCAGTATAGGTCGATTATTACCAACTTACCTTGCCCTGAATTGGATGCTGTCAACACCAACGATATGTGGTTTCAACAGGACGGCGCTACGTGCCACATAGTTCTTGCCACATTGGATATTCTGCACGAGCGATTCCAGGGAATGGTCATCTCACGTGTGAAGGTGATTTGAACTGGCCAACTAGATCGTGCGATTTGACCTCGTTAGAGTTTTTCTTATGAGGTTTTCGTAATGCGAAGGTTTATGCGAATAAGCCACAAACCACAGTAGTCCTCAAAGTCAACATAACCTATGCCATCGGCCAAATCCAGCCTGATTTATGCGCCAGAGTAGGTTCTTGAGGTTCGGAAATAGGGAGGGCATCATTCCACTAAAGACTCCATTAATTAGCCAATCAAACAGAGACAATGGTATTCAGTCAGTATTTAGTAATTAATAAATACCCGATAGGAATATGAGCATGTAACCACAATTCCTCCCAAATGCTTCAGATCCATCATAATTACATATATTAAACAGAAATTAAAGATCAATGTCATACTTATTAAGTAAATATGTGATGTTCAATACTGAGTGAATTGGATTTTTTTATTATTAATATGATATATGTTGTTGTTAAAAGTTTCTAATTTCGTATAATATAAAAAAAACATCTGAATTGAACTTGTTTTTAAGGAGTTTCGAGGAAATGATTCTACTAGGTGTCTACTGTCAGGAACCTCTACACCCATTACGTAACTACAGTAGATCAAGTTATTGAAGACTTTCCGAATTCAGAACCCACTTGACCCAAGGAAGAGAAATATATGTTCTTGAATAGTTTGTTTTTGAGGGCGACCAAGTACATCGGCTCATGTTAATGTTGTCTTATGAGTGAATTCATATTTGTTGATTTTATTCCGGCTTTCTGCTGAACGAGTTACCACTTGGTAACGGAGTTCTGATCACATCGTTCAGTCTCGGAAACCAATCCTAAATTCATCAGCCACCGAGCACCTGTCTTCATTGAAAGTGTGCTTTGGTGGCTCTAATCTTATTCTTGATTGAGTTGTTTTCGCCAAAAGTTTGGAAGATCGATTTTTACTGCCCATCGTCCAACCCGTGTAATGAATCACACGTTGAAATATCAGACCTCGTTAATTATAAGCTCGCATTAGTTTCGACTTTTGAGGAAAACGGAAAACAGATTTTTACACACATGTTTCACTTATGATTTTTTTCCATGAGTGAATTCCTTCTACGATTTTTTAATGATGTTAGCAAGGTTTTCAGAGAGGAGTGTTTGTAAACAGGATAATTCATATTTGGAATAAAGCTAGTATGATCTGTAAAAAATTTAAAAGATAACCGAAAAATGACAATTTTATCAAATAAAGAACTGAAATTACAAAGAAATAACATATAAGCAACAACCAAAAAAATAAAAAAAATGAAATATTAATACGTGCTGAAAATAAAAAAAAATTATTAAGAAGAAATGAAAATTAAAAAGATTACAAACCAAGTTATGTAACGACGTTTCGATTGTCAGTATCCAGAATCGTCTTCGCGTGATAACTGAACTTATTCCTCCGAGATCTGACTATTTATAGGTTCTCTCCGCTTCATGGTTTCAGCGGGAGATGACCGTTTGGCGGTCGTTTTCCGCTTGATTAGAGGATTCCATATGATACGTATATCTACGCTAGCTTGGCTTAATGTGAACAACATTTACGCGGCTTTTTTGAATTTTCTGCTAAACCAGTGTTCCTCCTTGTGGATGATTCAAGCTTGAGCCCAGTTGATGTTATGTTGATGAGTCCAAACATGCTCTGCTATTCCGGATTTGTTGTTTTCTCCTCGCTGTGTGTGTTTCTTGTGCCCAGCAATGCGAACTTTCAATGGCCTCTTAGTTTCACCGAATTATGATTCTCCGCACTCGCAAATATCCGGTGAATGCAATTCTTGGAACTGCAGTCCGCGTTTGGTGGCCTGGTTTTCGTGAGGCTGCTACGGATAGTGTTCCCAGATCCTGATGTTATATATACATGGACCCAATCATTCATATCCTATTCGATAATCCTCTGATGTAGGGATGTACACGTACAAGTACAAGTACTGGTTGTGGAGCTCTTGCTGTCTTCTAGCTGTTTTTTTATTTTTCAGCTTGAATTATTATTTCGTTTTTTTTTTGTTGTTGCTTGTATGTTATTTCTTTGTAATTTCAGTTTTTTGTTTAATGAAATTGTTATTTTTTGGTTGATCTTTATAATTTTTTACAGATTCTTTCAGGGATTTCAAGTCAATTTATATTATATTAGACAATGGAAGTCCGAACTGATGAAATACACCACGAAACATTGTCAACCACCTTCAAACAATCATTCACGTTACATATAAATAAATAATAATCTTTTAATTTAAAATACAGAATATGTAACGAATCATAATTGAACGGTAGTATACTTACAGTGGCATTGTGGATATAGCAAACCAGTGTCAATAGAGATAAAATTGTGGCATGCAGGTGATGAGAAGTCACTAAATTTTCTTGACTGATACTGAATGCATATTCCTGCAAACTCATCGCTACCGTTATAAAACATGATGCTGTATAACCACATGGAATTTCTATCAGTGTCAAAGCTACGACTTGATACATGTTCTCCAAACCTAGTCTGAAATTAAAGTGTATTCAGAGAATAATTATTACTTCGTATCCAACAGATAAAGGTCAATGTACAATTTTAGTTCTTTTAGACTTCAATAGAGCATTTGACACTATAAATATAGACTTGCTACTTAACATTTTGGGCTATATAGGTTTTTCTGATATGGATTTTCTTTTACGAAATTATTTAAGTAAGAGGGAGCAGTGTGTAGAAATTGAAATGGTTCAATCTGAATATTTGACACTGAAATCAGGGGTACCTCCGGGCTCGTTACTTTTTTCCAGATACACTATCAATTTGATCAAATCTCTGAAGTTATGTAAGATTCACGTCTATGCAGATGACACCCAAATAATCTATTACAGTTCCCCCCCCCCTAGTGGATAATGCTTATGAAATTATAAATTAGGAATTAGCGACCTTCATTGATTCAGCTGCTGATCACTGCTTATTGATCAACTCTACTAAATCAAAATTATTGTTGTTTGGTTCTGCATATAATCGTGCTATAACACAGCAAATAAACGTTAAAATCAAAGATAATTTGTTAACTGTAGTAAATGAATCCTAAAAATTAGGAATTATTATATTAGAATCAGATCTAAGATGCGAAAAACATATCAATAAGTTGATACAACGTGCATATAGCTCATTAAAATTGATTTATTGGAACCGGCAATTTTTCCAAGAAGTGTTAAAATAAAATTATGTGAAACATTAGTTTTATCAAACTTCAATTATGCGGATTCGTTATATGGTCCAAATCTGACTACTGTTTACAGTAAAAAAATCCAGAAAGTACAAAACTCTTGTTTGAGATTGATATATGGCATAAGAAAGTTTCAAAGAATATCACACAAATTGCTTGAAATCGGATAGTTGGATATGGAATTTTCAATGCAAATTAATTATATCATCAAATTATCCTTACAAAAATTCCTTTATATCTCTATAGAAAAATAAAATTTAGAACGGATGTGCACAACTTGAATTTGAGGTTTGTTATCTCCACCGACATTTAAAACAGAAACATTCAGACGTTCCTTTACATATCAAATTTATAAGTTGCGCAACTCCGTTCCTAAATCCTTGCAAAATCCCAGTGTTACAAGTTTTAAATCAAATTATGAAAATTTCTTACTTAAAAAATAAAAGTCAGTTATGTCATGATTGCTTTAGTGGAAAAAATGAATTTCGCTCTTCATTTTCCAACTTCCTTTAAAAACTGTTTTCGTTGGGCCAGATATTCTTGCAAAATCTCAGTATTACAAGTTTTAAATCAGTTATGTCATAACTTGCTCTTCTGTGTTCTCTTGTAACCTTACTATAGCTATTTATTAAAGTAATTTATGTATTCTATATATATTGTCTATACTCACTACCCTATCATTATTGAGGAAAAGTTTGCTTAGTTGTTACAGGGATTTCAAATCATTTTATATAGTAGACAATGAAAGTCCGTATACTAGTGAAATTCATCATGACACATTGTCAATCACCTTCAAACATAGGTGTTTGAGTTGTACCAGACTTTTATGAGTTTTCATTCCCTTCAAGAAATTAGAATTTGAACAATGATTTACAACAAATTACAAAATTGAACAATTTTGAAGTGCAATCTGCAAAGTTTTCAGGGATTTGAGAAGGAAGTACTTATATTCAATTCTAAAATTTATATGGAAGATGTTGGCGACATTTCTTTTCGAATTGGTTTTGTTAGAACGCGAATATTCAGGCAAGATGGTTTTCCTAATTTCATGGAAGTGAAAATTGATAATTGTCGAAGACAACTCGAGGTATCTTTTCAAAATGTTCTCGTCACCATTCTAAAACAGGTTTTAATGAATCTCTCATATCTTATGTCAAAGTTTGGCGAAGCAAAATCTAATTACTCAATATAGGTACATTTTTTGTTTCATAGAAAACATTTTTTCATCTGTACTTACCGAGAGGTGGCTCTGATGAATGTATTCAGTGTTATTTCATAAACGAGATGACGCATTGATTTGAAAAAAGCTTTATCCCCTTCCCGACAATGTGTTATTGTCAAACCGTAGTTGCAGTCCCGGAGAAATATCCTGCGAACAAAATTTATTTGAAAACTTTTTGTATAAGTTACGAAGAAAAAATTGTTATTGGTATGAAGATGTGTCAAACATTTGAATCAAAAGTATAGTTTTATTGATAAAAAGTATAGCAATATATGACCATTCTTGATCATACTTTCAAAATTTTTACGAACATTTTTATTTGTAGACGCATTCCGCTGACACCGTAGCTTCTTTGGTAGAAATGGATATGAACCACGAAATGAATGGGCTAAAAACAGGTGAAATTGTTTTTCGGCTTATTCACATCTTGAAGACAATATTTGAATAAAAAATAGTGAAGCATCAGTGAAATAGTAAATTATTATTATAAACTAAAGCGGAGCACGAGAGTCGGTGCAGAAATAGGGAACTTGCAGATTTTTTTTACATCGTAAATGTGTTCTGCTATGATAACTATCAACTAGGTACTGCAAAATATGAGCAATGAAATATCAATAGTCAGTTTATGAAAAATATAAAAAGGTTCTTGCGTTGAAAACCCAATTCGAACAAGCATTTGAAGGCGCGAACTGTCATTACGCCATACTGTATCATTCCATGTGATGAGGTACTGTTTTTTTATAGATTAACAATAATATAGTTATGAGAGTACCTGAAGACGATCATAATCGTCGAACAAAATGGTTAAAAGCATGCGTACTTCACCAAGAGAAAAATGTTCAGCTCCTTTAATGAATTTCGCTACCATAAACTTATCAACAACTGGCAGATTATCGGATTGATCTTTTGTAAATCTGTCGTCGAGCATGTTTCTTTGAATTTACACACTAAGTAGTAAATAATACTGTGTAAAATTAACTAAATGAAGTAAAACCCACATATTTGGACATAAATATCACGATAAAGAACAGAAACTCCGAACCAGCAAACGCAAAAAGTTCAACATAAATGGAATGGCGACTGGCAAAATACAGTATGACGTCACATCCAATGGCTGGGCGTTTTTAGTCACGTGACAAAATTCAAATTTTTGGTAAACTTTGATTGTTTCTCTAGAACGAATAGCATTTTTTTTTTGTTTGTAATAAAGGCATTATTACAATGATATCTTCTGATTCTTAATGTAATTTTCGTGACTAAATTTTTATGCATGTTCCCTATTGATGAACATATGTTCTTGAATTTTATCTGGTATAGCGACATTCGCAGAGTTTCTTAATGAACCGATGAGAGACCCACAATATCATCGATGAGCCTACGATATCACGCTTGTGATAATTGAATGAAAAATGGTTGACAATGGATATGAAGGTTACTAGACAAGAACTATCAATGGAACAGAAAGAACAAGCAGAGAGATGCCCAAAAGGCGAATCAAGAATAGGCAAATACTCATGGACAACCTCATATGGAATGCTGTGCGGAAACCATAATTGGAGGTGAGTTTACTGTCAATAATATTGGTGTCAATAATACTGTTATTCAAAATGATACTGATAACTCACTTTTTGATAACATCAATTCTGAAATGAAGGTATTGCGTCAAAGTATTCCTAATTCAATCCTAAATGGTGACCCTCTCAGTCAAATTCGAATAAGATGATAGAAATACCGGCATTCGAAAACTGAAATGCTCATACCCAAAAGGCGAATCGAAAAGGTGCAAATACTTATAAACAATCTCATATGGATAGCTGAGCGAAAATCATAACTGGAGGTGTATTTACTGTCAGTAATATTGGTACTTGCGATGCACTATGCAATGGATCTCGTTATCTCAGGGTTGTAGGAGCAAATGAAACAACTGTGCATCCGGTCGACTTGGCCAATTTATTTGAGTGGTCAAAGGTGTTCATCAGATATGATACCAACGGGAGTACTAGAGTATGACAGAAGTGAAACTATATAAATTGGTAATGTCCAGAAATACATTTTGGAAAATAAGTTACATTTTCCTGTACCAACTAATTAAAACCTTCCTACATAAATGCATCAGATACCCTAAGGAAATATAAGTTTGTCTCATATTTCTGGATTACTCCCAAAGTCATTCAAAATAACTTTAGCTTTTACGAAATGTAATAATTGGAAACGTGTCGATAGCAACGACTTGTTTCCCACTGCATACCTGAGTTTCATTTCGCATAAAATAAACGATATTACAAAAAAGGGTAGATAATATTTTTATAGTCCTGCCAGTGGAATGCTCCGGATCCACGTGAAACGTAGTTTCTTTGCCAATACTGGCCTTTTGGATATGCAGCCAACAATATTGAATGCAATAAAGCACAAAATAAAATATTGGTTGCTGAACAACAACGGCGTTCCAACCGACAAAAATGAACACTTATACCACAACAAATAATTCTTGTAAATACGAACGACGTGAAAGAAAGGAGAATGGTTTTGTTACAGTTGATTGGAAACTTTGATGTAGTAAAGTGACTATCACTGAAGTTTTATCCTAACATCAAACCGTTATTTTTAACTCCGTGACACGTGTTTCAATTACCAAGCATAATTTAGCCTCTCAAAGTTACTATTAATTCACAGATTATTGAAAGTGACTGTCAAATATTTCGAAATAATGATTGATAGACATCTAGAAGGAGACCATCAAAAGAAATATTTTGACAAAATAAGAACCCTTCTTCCAGAAATCAAATTTTGTAACAATGTTGTAAAGGAACATTTAAAAGTTTACGAATACTTTTTAGAATAATAAATGATGAAAACTGGAAATTAACTAAATTGTTTGAAGAAAGTGTAAAAATCTACGTAAATTCATTTTATATTTATAGAGATAGAACAATGACACACGATATAAAACTGTATATTTGTAAAAATTAAATTAATGAAACTTCAATATATTACCCTATCTTGATGATGGAATACTAGATAAACTTATAAAGATAACGTTTGTTTGAAGGTGATTATCAATGTTTCATGATGAATTTCATCAGTTCGAACTTCCATTGTCTGATATTATATAAAATGATTTGAAATCCCTGAAATAACTAAAGAAGAAGAATTGAAAATTAAAGAAGAAAAATAAAAATGAATAGCTGAGAAAAACAATTATATTAAGCAAAAAACCTGAAATGAAATAATAGTGAAATGAAATAGAGGTAAAATTTAACCAATTGAACAAAAATGAATAAAATAAAATTAAAAATTCGAAAGATTCCAAGCCAAGTTAATTCACTGGCTTTGCTTTCGGACTTTGTAATACGAAGAAAGGTCTCAAAAAGGAACTAGACATCATCAAAAATTATCTTCAACAAATTGGCTACTCCAAAACGATAGTGGAACAGACTTTTGCTAAAAGACAGAAGGAGCCCCGAAAGGAAGAGAAGCCGTCACAACTAGTGTTCGCACTTCCCTACATCAGAGGATTATCGGAAAAGATACGAAGAATTGGATCCAAGTAAAACATCAGAACCTGCTTCAGATCCGGAACCACTATCCGTAGAAGCCTCACAAAAGCCAGGCCACCAAACGAGAAGTGCGATTCCAAGAATTGCATTTACCGGATACCCTGTGAGTGCGAAAAAACCTATATCGGTGAAACTAAGAGGCCATTGAATATATTTTTTCCTTTCTCACATTGCCGAGCACAAGAAACACACACAGCGAGGGGAAACCAGCAAATCAGGAATAGCAGAGCATGTTTGGACCCACCCATCAACATAACATCGAATGGTCCCAAGCTGAGATCATACACAAAGAGGAACATTGGTTTAGGAGGAAAGTCAAAGAAGCCGGATACATGTTTTCCAACGATGTATTCAGTCAAGCTAGCTTACAGATACACAACATATGGAAACCCATAATCAAGCGAAAAATGTCCAACTCCCGCCAAACGGTCATCTCCCACTGAACCAGTGAAGCGGAAAAAGGAAAGTCAGCTCACGGAGAAATAGGTTCATTTTTCACCCGAAGACGATTGTGGATACTAATAATCGAAACGTCGTGAATTAACTTGACTTGGAATCTCCTAACTTTTGAATTTTTTTTTTGTTTAATATAATCGTTTTTTCTCAGCTATTCATTTTTTACTTTGTTCTTTAATCTTTAATTCTTTTTTTTTTAGTTAGAATACATAATATGTGAATTCTGGGTTTGCAAATGTTTATGAATTGGAGAATGTATTGTTCTATTCGTAATGTTCATACCTTAGTCTATCCATAATAATGTAGGTATATCAAAAAAATATTGTAACATAACATATTCAAAAAGCAGACTTTAATGTGAGATTTTCACGACACGTGTTTGTCTATCTCTATACGATAGCGTCTTATGGCGTCACAATAATCCAGATGCGCCAGAAAATGATATCGCATAGCGAAACACGTATGGTGGTTTTGTAAATTTTCAATTATTAATCTCATATTGGGTTTTCTGAATACACTATTGTATTCATCCATGGATGAGCTTATATCATTTTTATCGACCTATTTTGGGTATTTTCACCTTCCACAACTTGAAAAGTTTGGAAATTTTGTGTAGCGAAAAACTCGTTTCACATCTGTCAAAAAAGTTGTGAAATAAAAATACTCAGCAAAGGAAAAACTAAGAACAGACTTGAATTTCGTACATTTCTGAAGACGGGGAAAATTTTGGCTTCCGAAACGTTAAGATAAGTATTGTTCGATTTCTTAGCTCTTTTTTGATACCTAGGCAAAATTATTGAACACGATGAGTTACTGCTAAATAGCGTTTTAATTACGCAGTAACTTATCGGGGTGAACTAAAAAGTTTGTCCTTTCTACACGTGTGTAATGAAGTTCTACATTACAATTTTTATATTTTTCAGATTGTGGAAGGTGGAAATATCCAAAAAAGGTCGTTAAAAAACTGATTTTCCTCCACAAAAAACGACTTCCGTTCAATACTTATTATATTATTATTATATTTGCTGAAAGTTGTTATTCCAAAATTACTTCATACGAAAAGGGTGATTTGAGAAAATTCCCAGCTTGATATCTTCCACACTTTGCCAGCATCAATCCGAACAAAATCAGAATGACATTAAATGCGGCAGCAGAAGCTAATGAAACGAGAATAAAGTAATCTCTTTCCAGGATCGGATTTGTTGAAATCACTAGTTTTTATATTATTAAAATTCAGGAAAAGGATGATTGGATTCTGTGAAGATACTTGTGAAATGATTTACCAGTTCGCGAAGGTCAACATCTACTTTGGAGGAATCTGATCCCTGACGTGTGTACGAAATAAATGTGATGACATTTGAAAAGTCACCTGCTTGACATCCCGAATAAAATAAAGGGATAAATGAGAGGTGCAATGAGATGAGAGAGCATTATTGAGAGAGTTCTTCAAAGACGACTACCAGAACTAAACAAAAAAAGAGGCCTTGGAACGATTTTAGAAGTTGTACGAGTTTAATGCTTCGGCGGATTAGAGGTGGTGAGTTGGTCATGAATCTCTTCAAGGATCATGTATTGAAAACAAATTTGGTAGATGAAAAATTTTCTTCAAATTCATATCCAACAAGTTCTTGGAATGTAGTAGGACTTCGACAATTGCAAATTTCGATCCGACGTTGAAGATGAATATTTCCCAGCTGAAAAAGCAACGGAAGAACGGATATTGAAGTTGTTGATGATAAAATTTGACTCATTTGGAGAATTTCAGTATAGTTGCAATGATATTTCTGAATTATACTAGAAGGAAGTATTTCAAGAATTTCAAAAGAATTTCAAAGTTTTTCGACATAGTATCAAGATTGAATGATAAATCAGAAGTGAAAAATAGTTTTATTGGGATAAAGCAAAACAAATGATATGAGGAAAGCAATAATTACAAAGATTACAAATGAAAGTGAAAATCCGCCTGCTTATATCATATATCAAATGAGACAACTTTTGACCGTTAACGGGAAATTTCTCATCTCCTACTTGATAAAGCCGTGAACTTACCTTGGCGAGAGAAAATTAAGGGCATTATTATTTCTGTCTATGAGACTCTGCCATATCCTCATAGAATACAATATTAGAATTGTATTATTTATCTGAAATAGTCTGAGAATGTATGGCAACGGTCCATCCAAGATTGAACTTTTCGGAGATTTGAGCTTGAATTTTTTTGCTCCATATGCGGCTAGGTTTCCGAAACACATTATCGTTTCTTCATCAAGATCTTTGTCGTGCATTTTTTTCAGAATGAAGAATAACTAGAAACAAGTAGTGCAATTAGAGTATGTTTTTATCGAATTCATTATCTAACTTGAACGAGTGATGGAAACTCACTCAGTATGGTCAAACGTAATATTACTGACCATATCTGTCGATAGTCATTGGTACAGATCTTGAAATCAATCTCGTCTAAGATCATCAACCACGAATCCTTCTTATGATAGTTGCTAATCAACGAGGTTTGTTTGATTGAGAAATAAATTAGGTGGTGAATAAATAATGATTTTTGAATTTCAATAACATTTTATTGTATTGGGATGGAGTAAATACTTTACACTCCAGTTCAAAATAGAGTTGGAATTTGAATTTATTATAAAAGTATTTAGGTATCATGAAAAAAAATTGATCAGTATTTGCAACACTTCGACTTTCCGGAATATAAAACCACCGAGATGAATGGTGATAATGAATTAGATTCAGTTTTAAAAACAATATAATATTATTATTATTAGGATGTGAAGTAGGCACTCCTATAACAAGAGTTTTCTTTATGGGTACTGTTAATTAAGTTCCCATTGCATATACGTTATACTTGAAAAGATTATGATCAGGATAAGCTTTAATCGCTTGTTTTTTAAATATATCAGTGATTTTCTGCGCGCAGGATTATATTATATTAAGGGTCAATATCACATACAAGCTACAGGATTCAGTGATCTTGATGATTAGTTCCAAATTTTGTTTTTGTAATTTAGTTTTTGTACAATTTATGAAAAGTAACATTATTATTTCATTATTCCCTCTCTGAATTAAATTAATTCAATTTAAGGACTCGATAGTTTTGAAGATATAATATGGTGTGTTGAAATTTGTGAAAATCTACATTCTTCTTGATATATAGAAAGCTTTATTCACATATTTATTTCATTTATTTATTTATTTATTCACATCCAACAGGCCAAGGCCCAATAAAAGGAGTATACAATAATAGAGCAGGTAACTATTTCTAGATAAATGTAAGTATAAGTGAACATTTTGATATTCAGCTAGGAACTAATCTATACAAACTATTTCTAAATTTATTCATGTCTTTGAATCGATGAGGATATATGTATGTTAGCAGTATAACGTTGGCAAAAATAAATTTCAAAAATATTTCAACAAGCGATTATCTTCTTTTCTTTATATTTCTAATTCTACAGAGAATATTCTCATTTGACATCACGGATTTGATTCCCAAAACATCATTGTGTCTTTGTGTGAAGATGAGTTTGTCACATTGTTTTATTTGTTTTGTCGTAGCTTGATTTTATCAAAAGTAGTTCAGTATTATTAAACTCATTAGACGAAACCGTTCTCATTTAAACAGCAACTTTTCTGGGCAGACTCAAAATTCTTTCACTAAATTGATGAATGTAGCCGCTACGTGGTAGGAAATCATAATGGAAAGAGAAATGAAAATTTCTGTTTTCAAAATATAGAAATTTTCATTTCTGTTTTCATCAAAATTTTTTCTTTTCTTTATAGACTTTGAAGGAAGTGAATACTTCAAACCAGAACTACAATACTCTTCACGACGAACTAGAGTTATTCTCAATTCTAACTCATTCATATCTAAGGAGGCGAAAATAGATTTTTCCTTTTAATGAATTGAGTACTTTATCTTGTAATATTATCCATATCAGTACTGAAAAGACAATAAAGCAAGTGCCTTATTCCGAAATATCGATGACCGCCATTTGTGTGAGTGAAATTTTACCTCTTTCGTATATCTACTATATTGTGTAGCAATTATGTGAATGAAATCTGATTCAATTCCACAAAGGATATTTTGAGTACAAACTGAATAGCAAAAAGTATTTTTTGTGTAATCCAATATTCATATGGAAGTGATTTTTTTTTCGTGTAATTCAATATTTATAGTATGAAAGTAGCTGTTTCGAATGGGCTTTTTTTCCAGTTTGTGCCTGAAAGTTACTTCTTTGCATGATCTACACATATTTGTGAAGAGTCTCTTCTGAAATTAATTGCTATCTTTCTTTGTTAGATTCCTACACTACACTTTTGTGTATAAGGAGAAGTATAAAGCCAAAACTTTTCTTTTTCAAAATTTAATTTTTTTACTTTATATACGACTTTTCATAGTTTGTTCCGATTCTGTGTGGATACAGCAAATACAATTTCAAAATTCTGATATTCTCATATCAGGGAATCGGTATCATTAAACGAAAAACTCATGATATGCAATAAAACACTCACCAGTTTTATAAGATCCTTGTTACCTAAATTACCAATTGTGTTCCTCATGCAAATTTCTAAACCTTTTCTCAATGGAACATAGTTGTAATTGTCTGTTGATTTTGGTACGATGCTACTTTCAAGCATTGACAAAATCTTTTTCATGAGATATTCCGACATTCTTCTCCAACGTACTTTTTTCATAATTTCATATAATATTTGTGTTAAACATTTGGCCTCATGAACGTTTAGGAGGGTAGACGTTTCTAGAGTATCTGTAAAATAAACTTCAACTTACACATTTTTTATCACAATCAAAAATAAAATTCCATATTGAATATAACAAAACTCGTTCTCACTACTGGTTGGTTCCTTTTGTATTTCACAAACTCTTATTTAACTTGCAATGATTGAATATTACTTCTGGTCGAATCTTTCAACTGAATTTTGGATCTCTTACTTGCATGACAATACACGTTTAGTTTGTATGACAATACTTGTTCGACTGTGAGGCCATTCTACATCCAACATGGTAGAAACCCAAGAAGGCAGACTAATTTTTCAAACACCCCCATGATATTAGTATAAAATGAAAGGGTTCGCCAAGAGAATATGAGAAATAACATGAAGTCACTCCAAATCTAAATTGTGAACCGCTCAAGATGACTCTCTATGATATGTGTATGAAATGAATAAATTTACTTAAGAACACATATACGGAAAATGAAGTAACATCACTTTAAATCCAATATGGCGAACTTCCAAAAATGGTGGATAATGTTTTTGTGCACGCTTATGTTATAGATATCGAATATAATGGTTCGAAGAGAAACATCAAAATGGGGAAAACAAGATGTTCACCATGTCGCAAAGTTTTGGGAAAGTCGGTCGGTAGCCGGTCGGTTCGACGTGGGTGCATTGTTCACTCACTCGAATTGACCGCCGTGTTGGTCGGTGGTTTAAGCCCCAGTCTGAACGATCGATTTCCACTTGCTATCATCCAACTCGTGTTAGGAATCACATGTTAAAAGGTAAGACCCCGTTAATTCTTAGCTCGTACAAGTTTAGACTTCTGAGGGTTGTCGTTCGTAGGGATGCGACAGCTAGTTAACGGAAAAACATATTTTAAACAGAAGTGGTGGTGTTCGAACAGATTCCGTTAGAACCAGCCATGCAACATTGACGAATTGAATGAAAGCAGGAAGGTGTCAAACGATAACTGAAAAATGAATAAATAAAAATCATTTTTGAGAAAACGCACTAATTCACATGTACTGAGAAGAAAAATTATCTTGAGATTAAATCAAACTTTGAAATTCATTACTTTACACAATTTATATTAAATGAAAACTTGTCGCGAGGATCACCAAGATTATGATGATGATGATCAAATATACTTCATTATCTAATATAACTAATCAAAAAAGTAAATAAGTATTACAATTAAAAATGAATTAAAAGTTTTTGGCTTTCCACTACTGCGTAAGTGAAATGTTTACGTTTCATTTGGTATATTGTGTAGAAATCCTGTGACTGATATCTGATTCGGTTCCATAACGGATGTTTGGAACAGAAACTGAGTATAGAAAAGTGTTTTTTGTATAATTCAGTGTTCATATAAAAGTATTTGTTTCGAAAGAATTTTTCTTTCTTGTAATCCAATGTTTACATGAAAGTAGCTGTTTCAGGATGGTTTTTTCTTCCAGTTCGTGTCAAAGTTACTTCTTTGCATGATCTACACATGTATGTAGAGGGTTACTTCTTTCGAAATTGATTGCTTCCTTCCTTGCTTTGGAAATTCCCACATTTTTGTGTCGAGATGGAGTAGTAGAAAGCCAAAAACTTTCTTTTCCAAAAATTAATCACTTCTAAAATATAACATTTTCAATTTTAATTATATAACCACTAAAATACAATGAAGAATTCAATTTGAAATGTCGAAATAAATAACAAACACAAATGAATGTGAACACAATAATGATGAATTTCAAAAAGAAAATTGAAATATAGCCAGTAAATTATGAAAATTATAAATGATGAAATATCAAAAATATAAAATGGATTCACTAAAGTTCAAAAACTGATCACACATAACTGAGCTTAGTACTTGACAAATTTTAACGCCACACTGAATTAAAATAGATAAGTTAACTTGAAAGTTAATTTAGATTTTGTGACAGTTAAATTCATTGAGGCTGCAGTATGATTTGTTCAAGAATAACTATTTTACCAATTCTCTAAATTCAATCAAATTTCTCAAATTTTTCAGACCATTTGCAGACCCAATGCAGGTTCTGTCAAGAAGAGGATGAAACCATTCTGCATGTACCCTGTGAATGCGAAGCAATAACAAGGATGATACACGCACGATGCGGAAAAGAAAAACCAGAGGCTGCTAGCTATATGAAGGGTTCAGTGTCAAGTCTATGGGGTCTCATCAAAGAGATCAAGCTAGACAATGAGTTCTAACAACCAAAGAGCATCAAAATAGATCTGAAAAGGTTGCAGTGAATCAGGCCATGGGCCAGCTTCCCGACAATCTAATCTAATGTAAATACTTGTGATTAGGGATTTTACATCATTTTATATCATATTAGACAATGGAAGTTCGAACTAATGAAATACACCATGAAACATTGTCAGCCACCTTCAAACAAATCAGAAACAAATTTCCATGTTTGTTTGAAGTTTCAATGAATACCGGTTGCAACTCAAAAACAGATGAACTTTTTGGTGTGAATTCATAATCTGTTAACTATTGTGTATTCTCGTTCGTTATCAATGCAAGGTTGGCTTTCAAAATAAGTTTATATGCGATATTCTAAATTCATGATGTCAATGTCGAGTTCAAAAAATAAACAGTTGCTTACTTGATATATTACTTACATAAAAGGTCTTCTATTCCTTCTTCAGCATCTTGATAAATTTGCAGTAGTTGAACTATTAAATCGGTGCACGCGAATTCAATTTCCCACAGTTTCCCTTCTCTGTAGAATGTGATTATTGCATTCAGAATAATACGATGCATTTCTGGTCTGAACAATCTAATTAACTGTGAGTAAGACTTCATACACTCTTCAGCTTTTTTTCTGTGAACAATCGAAATTTTAATTATTTACTCATTCAGTACCTTTCAGTAACTTTCAGACAAAAACTAGAAGAGAAAGCCTTCTCGAAACACTTACTTCCATATAAACATTGAATTACACGAAAGAAAAATTCTTTCGAAACAAATACTTTCATATGAACACTGAATTATCTAAAAAACTTTTCCTCATTCAGTTTGTATTCCAAACATTCGATACGGAATTGAATCAGATATCATTCACAGGATTCCTAGACAATATAGTGGAATAAAAGAAGACACTTTCCTTATTAGCTCTCTTATACCAATCTGGATAGCTTTTCAAGAAAAAACACACAATTCATTCATGAAATAATGATGTCATCATAATGGCATTCATTCGTTTATTTGATTGAATCCCAGCCAAAGGAATTTTGTTTAAATTGAAAGGGGCATATTTTTAGGAGAGGTTGATTTTTTGGGAAAGGAAAGTTTTGTCTTTCTACTTCTTCATCTTGTCCATAAATATCAATATGAAGAATCATTTTTTTTGCAAATGAAATACTATCATCTACTATTCATTCGAAAAAAATGAATTGCGGAAATTTTTCTGTTGGAGAGAAATACTATGCTGAATTATTAAAGGAAGTTCGGAAGTTCGAAGTCTGTTGGAACTGCAGCGTTGTTTGGCAAAAAATTGAAAAGAAGAAAATACCAAAATCTTGATAACAACTATATGTTCCATCCAATAGCGGTTGAAACTTTTGGTGTTTATGGCCGTTCATTTACTCGGAAGGAGAGTAGGCCAAGCAACGGAAGATCACCGTTCTACCTCTTTTTCTATAGAAAGAATTAGTATTGCTATTCAACGTGGCAATGCTGCTTCGGTCCTTGGAACTATTCCTCCTTCACATAAGTTTGATGAGATCATGCACTGCCCTAACTTCAGTACGGAACTGAAATCTCTTCAAAACAAGCTGAGATATGTGGATATTCATCAGTCTCCTATCAAGGTTGATTCACAAGTCATTGATCCACCTTTTTTTTTCAGTGCGGTCAGTGGACTCAGGTCATTCATGCCACCCAAATATGAGTTGCAGTCCTCGTAGTTCTGGTTCCCTTTCAGTGGAAGAGCTTCATGAAGCAAGAGCCGAATCGATCCCTCTACGAAACCCTTCTTCACTTGGAAGGATCGATTGCAGCTTGAGAAATGGTTCTTATGGAGATTCTGTGAAACGTGTTCTTCCTTACGAATAATCAGTAGAGAGTTGTCCTGAAAATCTAGAGTAGAAAATTGGATTGGATTATTTAGGAAACACTTGCTACATAAATATGGCATTTTACAAGTGTTGTTCATGACGAAGAATTTCAAGAACGAGGTTTTGATGGCGAACGAGAATGGGAATGTTTTCTACTTATTCATCAAACTCAAACACCTGTTCATGCAGCGACAGTTTCCTAAGAATTTATCATCGTTCCCCCAACCAATTTCCTGTAGTCTCTGAAGTCCACTAGATACTCTTTGGGACAACAAGAGGATTGTTCCGAATTCTTTGGGTTCTTGTTGAATACTCTTCGTGAGCAAAACACTAGCAAAATCAATACTCTTGACCGCTCTGGATTGAATGATTCCGTACAGTCCATCTCGTTTTGTGTTTGTAAATCTTTTGCTGGAAAAATCCTCTCTTGTTCACTTTGTAGTAAATGTTCAAGAGGTAGCGAAAACTTATGTGAATTTCTGGAACTTCATCTAGCTTTTCCTAATATGACTAATAACCAGTCCGTGCAAAGCTTATTGTTGAATCATCTGAAAATGGAATTTTCAACAGATGATGATCGACTGTATTACCAAACATGCCGCAAACTAACTGACTGTTATAAGGAAACAAGTATAGCTGAGGCACCAGTCAATCTATTAATAACATTCAAACAAGACTCAACCTCTGACGGAAGCAAGAAACTCTTCGAAATGTTCGAAATAGACGAACATTTCAATCTAGCAGACCACTATTATAATATTCATGCAGTCATTGTTCACTGTGGTTCTGGCGTTGAATTTGGTCATTATTACGAAACGGACTGATTTAAGTTTGACGATAGTCGTGTCACGATGTGTTCTGGCGATGCATTGAATCTATTGGAGCCTCTGGAGACACCCTACATTTTGTTTTAGGTTGCACCTAATCATTATCCGTTGTTTTTTCTGGACCTTGTTAAAACTTTCACACAGTATCCGACCCCACCCAAGACTACTTGGCGACCCCTTCTGTAGGTTAATGGACATCAACCTCCCCACTCTGTAGGTTAATGGACATTAACCTATAGTGTAGGGAGTTGAGACTGGCCTGAACGAATTGTTCCTTTAGATGATTTGAAACCAAACAGTTGTTGAACTACAGTGGGGATGAACTACGATGTCTAACAGGCATCCTTTAAGGTCACCGTCCTCTGAATCATCATATGCAGAGACTCGGACTGTCGGAAGACAGTGTGTGTCACCTGTGTTTGGAAAATAATGGAACAGCAGAGCATGAACTTTGTGTCTGCCCCGCTGCGGACCGAATCAGGTTTTCAGTGTTTGGTACAACCACAATTCTACCATCTGATCTGAAGGATCACTCACAATATAAACTAATCGGCTTCGTCAAGAAGCAGGGTTTATTTGGTCGAGTTTGAATATGTGTGAGCCACAATATACCCTTGCGGGATGCAGTGGAGAGTCGAATAGGCCCACTCACTTCTGACCTAACCTAATCTACCTCATGACGTTGCCGGATCATTCTTACCAGTAGAAACTTTATCTCTTCTGACTTTTTTGACATATCCAGAAAAAATTACAACCTCTCGATTACGTCTAGTTATTCAAGACATAAAAGTCGCCGACAAAACTCTGAGTAAAAAGTATAAATATGAGTATAAATACCTCCTAGCATAAGATATCAAACTTATGGAAACAGTTCGCAGCCGAAGTTGAAAGTGGTGTATGCAGCTCATTATACTCCAAGTTATATGAATGACGTGAGACATAGATACGGAAGCTGATTTGGCTCTCGCAATTATATCATTAATGATTTCCATACCTAAAAAAAATGTTGTATATGATATGCGATAAGAACATAATATTTTGTTAGTATTTTCGGAAGAAATACTAGAAAACTGAAAATCTGTTTGAAATCTGTTTTTTCGTTAATCAGCTGTCGCCCCCATACGAACGACAACTCTCAGAAGTTGAGAAAATTGTGCGAGCTAAGGAGTAACGAGGTCTTACCTTTTAACGTGTGATTCCTAACACGGTATGTAATGTAATGAAAACTCTAATAATAAATGAAATGATGACAATTTATTTTCCCTAGAAACATATATGTTTGTAGTAGGGAAAAAATCAATAATTCAAAACTATAATATAACTAAGTGAAAAGAACAATATCCCTTTCTGTTTCATCATTTGTTATCTGTTTAGTGCGGGGGGCTAGTTGTAACAGGGGCAAGTAGCTACAAGCATTTTGACGAACATAATAGAATAATATTTCTTTGATTTTCAACCCAACCTACTATTTAATTTGCAATGTATCATATAAGCGCGGTCAGTATCCCGCCGGACGGCGCAGGAAACGTTGTTGTGCAGGTGCTCCGATAAAACCAGGTAACGGACTTTTTTTGTTTATACAAAATTGTTTAGCGTGGATTACAAATTGTTCAGCAGCTATTGATTCATTTCATTTCGCATTTGTTTAGTTTGGTTATAATTAACTGTAATTTTACATCAAGCAATTTTTCTTAAAAAGATATTTCAAAAAACCTCGCTGTGGTGTATGTTGTAACACTAGTTGTAACTTGTTATAACTTACACCTTATTCATTTATTACTTCTATAAAATTAAACAGGACGCACTTAAATTCCTTCCAGATATACCTGGAGGTAAATCTAACTTTATAAATTTGACAAATCCGCTGAACATGACATCAAAGACAATTCAAATAAATTCTGAGCATATATAAATAACAAAAAAGGTTCTATCAGCATTTCAGACAGATTGTCCAAGGCAGAACAATCTTTAGATACCCCTTTAGATATTCTTGATAGCTTTGCTGATTTTTACTCAAAATCATATATCACCAGCTCTCCAACCGAATTGAGCGATTACCATCCATATTCACAAGTCTCGAACATTCATTACATTGAAGAAAATTAAGTGTTGGCTGCTTTGAAATAGATTAAACCGAAAATGACAACAGCTCCCGACAGCATCCCTGCACTGATTGTCAGAGATCATCCACATGTTTTGGCTCGTCCTTTGACAATATTGATAAATATCTGCATCAAAACTAGTACCATCCCAGATCTATGGAAATTATCTAAAGTTCGGCCAATTTATAAATAAGGGACAAGTTTGATGTCGGTAATTATAGACCCAAATAAGTGATATGTAACTTCGCCAAAGTGTTTGAAATCCTCATCTATAACAGGTTATATCCTCATTCGAACAATCAAATTACACCACTTCAACATAGTTTCATGAAAGGTTGCTCGACAATCACTAACCTTTTCAATGTTACCCAATATAACCAGTGATAGGAAATCCCAAACTGATGTCACATGTACGGGCTTCTCTAAGGCGTTTGACAGACTTGATCCCGGCTTACTGCTATGTTCAGGTACGGCTTTCTCTGCCACGATCTAACTTTTCGTATCATACTTCACTGACAGGTGTTAGTATGTTATATTCAATGGCTTCAAGTCCGTGGAATATGCAGCTACCTCGGATGTTCTACAAGGAAGCAACCTAGCTCCACTTCTCTTTAACGCCTTCGTAAACAACATAGTTGAGGTCATTGACATCAACTGTTTGATATACGCGGATGACCCAATATTATATTCTGAGATCAGTGGCATCGAGGACTGTCATCAACTCTCCCTCAATCTGAAACGTGTTGAGCAATGGTGTTTTCGCAATAATCTTCCTTTGAACGCGAGCGTACGCGTACACTCTGAAAAATCGTTCACTTTCATATCAATATTCAATAAAAGATATTCCACTTCAACGGCCTCACACATTCATGAATCTGGGTGTTACTTTCGACACGAAACTTTCCATCGTACCATACATTGAAGCCATTCTGTCTGCTGCAAACTGAATGTATGGATTTATTGCACGGATCTGCAGAGATTTCGCGGATCCATCTACATCGAAAACCTTATACTATGCTTTTGTTAGATCAAAATTAGAATATGCTTCCATAATCTGGAATCCATCTCATCAATTGTATACAGAGAAAGTTGAGTTACTACAATGTCATTTCCTAAAACTTCTCTTCTATAGATCAGACAATATCTATTCACCCTATGGATTTCCCCATGATGCATTGTTAGCTAGATATGCTATGAGTAGCTTGAGTTGCCGTCGTGATTGTAACTCTACAATTTTTTTTAACTGATTAATAGTTTAATTATTGACCCACATATTCTGCAAAAACTTTATTTCAATGTACCTAGACCAACCTCTAGAGTGATTATTCTTTTTTATCTGCCAACACCACGTACAAATATTCTGAAACGTTCACCTTTGCATAACATGTGTGTCAAAAGCAATTCACCAAGTTGTCAGCTCGACATTTTTTACCGTTCCATCTTTGAGCTAATTCTATATGTGTTATTTTTATCTTATAACTAATTGTAATTGTAATTGTATTGTATTGTGATTTGACTTATATCTAACTGGGTTAAACCTGTAGAACAGTGAATAAATAAATAAAATAGAATGAAATGAATGTATGATGGAATTTAGATATCCTGGAAAAACTGTGTGAATGCTTTTTTGAGCATCAACTGTAATGCCATCAATCATTTCACTCGGGCTGACAGTCATCTCTTCAATTATAAAAAATATATATTCTCTTATGTGATGACATTGGCCGATATTTCATGAAAGTTCATAAAATATTCCAATGCCAGTTCATTGTGGGATTTTCCCTAGACAATTTACAAAACTGCTGCTGCTTTACAATACATACGTATAATATTGAAACGCTTGAGAAAGATATTTTAAATATAAATGTTTTTCCTTTCCTTGAATTTTACAAAATGAAAAAAATATTACTATGCCAATTTAGAACATTAGGCATCTCCGTTAAAATGAAATTATCAATTTTCACGACTCTGAAAAATCATACTTCTTGCATAGATATATAAATCTTCTATTTATTTATGAAGTTTTATTTACTAAGAAAAATACATACCCATCATTCTCCTGAGATGAAGTTCATGCAAATCTCTCACACTCTTCAGACAACATTTGTAGAGAATCCTTATTTTATTGTCAAACTCCTTTTGAGTCATAGTTATGTGAACCCCAAATAATTTTTGTAGTCTCTGTTTGATAGTAAGCTTCTCTTTCAGATCTTGTAGTCTACTGTCCGAGATGCAAACTGAAATGACGTGTTGAGAATAGTAAAAATCCATTCATGAAGTGGCAAATGTAGATGTGTCAAACTAGTGATTTGTTCATCAATAATTCGATTTGATGAATTTTAGGTTCTGTATAATTTCCCTTTTTCATATCTCAGAGTGTATTTGAAATCCGTGCAAAATTTTTGTAAGTATGTTGAGTGAAAAACTCATAACCATTAATTTATAAGTCCAGTGAAAGCTTCTGAGCGATACACACTTGTTTAATTACTTATCCCTGGGCAACCGAGAGTCCCCCTAGTCAATTATTTTAAATGAACTAAAATGTAATTAAAATGGGTACACTCCTGGATGATTGTATAAAAATTTCATTGCTAAAAAAAGCAGCTAAATATCAGCCAAAAAAATTTACCAAGAATATGGCAATAATAATGTTAAAGAAAGAACTATTCGAGGTTGATTTGCGAAATTTCGATCCAAAGATTTCCCCCTCGAAGATGAGCCCCGAAGTGGTCGACCTACAGTAATTCAGAATGAGGATTCAAAAACCCCGATGGTGACTGATCCACCACAAATGGTACGTGGGATGGTGGAGAACCAGTAGAAATTGTCAGGTTTCGAGGTCTGGTCTTCTTTGCTTTCGCTTCACACAACCAAAACGATACTTTTTTCAATCGGATCGTTACGTGTGATGAAAAGTAGATCATCTAAGACAATAGAAGACTTTCAGTACAGTGGTTAGACAGCGACGAGCCACCCAGGAACTTCCCAAAGGCGAAAACCCACCAAAAAAGACCTTGGTTACTGTATGGTGGTCAGCGGCTGGTGTGATTCACTATAACTTTCTGCAAACTTTTCAAACTATCACAACAGTGTGCTATTTTGGATAAATCGACGAAATGCACCAAAAATTGCGTCAGCAGCTGTCAAATTGCTGGACTATTCCACCCTCTGAAATGCAAGAAAGAAACATAAAATGAGTGTAGCAATTTTGACTTTTGGTCCTGATATTTGTTATGAATGAAGTGAAGGAATTATTAGGGTGAATATAAAATGAACTTCATTTTTAATATTTTCCCCAGTACATTTTTGTTACTGTTGTTTAACTGCTCGAACAGTACGTGAAAAATAAGCCCGATCCAGTAGGCTTGAAAAATTTTGTTTTGGCTACTCCTCAGGGACTAGTCTTGGATTTCTTCGTTTACCAAGTTGCTAGCACATGGCCTGCCGGTAAACCCGAACCCGAATTAGATATTGGTGGAAGTGTTGTGAAACGATTGACTCAAAATGTAAATCCTGAACATATAATTTTCATGAATAGATATTTCACTTCGTGTCCTCTCTTCGAGTAATTGGATGACAGAGACATTCATGCAGTTGGAACTATCATGAATAAGAGAGAGCCTGCTTCGGCAAAAATATAATTCGGTCTGACAAGGATCTAAGGAAAGAGGGTAGAGGTGCTTTTCAAGAAATAGTAAGGCGTGATGGACGACTTTCACTTACCAAATGGATAGACAACAGAGCAGTGTTGATGTTGTCTTCGTCAGAAGGAAGCTCGCCAATTATCGATATTCAACGTAGGGACAAGATAAACAAACGATACATAACAACATCTCGCCAATAGGGCAATGGGAGGGGTCGATCTGAATGACAGGATGATATCTTACTACAGAATATCACAAAGAACAAAAAAAACGGCCAATCCGTTTCATTTTTGACTGTATCGATTTGGTAATTGTTAATTCCTGGTTTTAGAATACCTAATAGATAAAAAATCTCTGGATGTTTCCAATCGCAACATCATGGATTTGCTGGCATTTAAAATTTAAATAGATGAATGTCTGGCCATGGATGCAGATTCTCCAATAAGCAATCAAATTGACACTGATTACGTATCACCGGGATATCTCCAATCAAAAAACGCATCTGAGCCTAAACCTATTCATCCAGTTGACGTTAGGAAGTAGTCGAACAAGCATTTACCAATATGTGCTGTAGAAGACAAAAATAAATTTAAGAGATGTCGCAACGAAAACTGCAAAGAAAAAACTTGATATCAATGTAGTACATGTAATGTGTTTCTTTGTATTCAACCACAACGTCAATGTTTTTATGAATTTCATTTTCAAGATGTTTTGTATTCCTGATTTCTCACATAGAAAACTATAATAATTGTCAAACTGGACCCTGGTGTCCAGCTAGCTGGACTTTGTTTATTTTTGTAAAAAATAACATTTGATTTTTTCTTCTTTTTTTTTCTGATTTCTCACATAGAAAACTATAATAATTGTCAAACTGGACCCTGGTGTCCAGCTAGCTGGACTTTGTTAATTTTTGTAAAAAATAACATTTGATTTTTTCTTCTTTTTTTTTCAATTGACAATTATTATTTTTTGAGAGAATAATACAAAAAAAAATGAGCAATTGAAAGAATTTTTTCTGTGTGACATGGGAGATTAATAACAGATTACATCGAAAACTTCATACCACGTATGCATATTGAAATGCCAATTGAAAAGGGTTAGCTTTTCAATTCGCTATGATCAAGAACAAATGCTGAGCTTTTTGAAATCATTTTCCCAACAAACAACATGATGTCCATTACAATGTTTTAGTATTTCATAATACCTCAAAACAGCAGTGGTAATGATTCGGTTCTTGCATGAACAGTCACTACCGAGGCAACTGGGGGTGAAAGACGGAGTTCTGATTCCGTTCGAGTAATTTAACAAACAAACGGATTTGAATAATTTAAGTTGTGACGAACGGAAGACTGAAAACGAGGTGTTCGTTAAAGATACAAATTAACCGATGTTTGACGGTGCAAAAACTTTCTATTTCTCCCTTCAACAAGACCAAGTCGATGTAAACAAAGCGAATTAACGGAGAATAGTTTTTACGAAAGTGTAATCTTTAAGAATTTAAGAGGCATCTACTAATAGCTGACGTTGGAGTGGAAGGGTTTTTCCACACTTATGATTGAGATCTATCTTCTACTCTGTTTTCAATAATTTCAAATTATTCTACAAATCCCTATATGAAAATGGATTTCTCACGAATGAAATAGGTTCAATCAAATATTAGTGGAGTAGTAATAGGNATGAAAATGGATTTCTCACAGATGAAATAGGTTCAATCAAATATTAGTGGAGTAGTAATAGGTGAAATATTGCTGATCTACAAGAAAGAATATGAAAAAAGGTACCGAAAAAACATTATTAGGTAATACAGAAAATGTATTAGCTCAAATAGTAGAAACTAGTTGAATTTTATTTTAGACAAAACTAAAAAACACATCACGTAGAAGAGAATCAGAAGAAAAAGAACAGGAGGCAGTCATTGAAATCATTTCAACAAGGAGCATGTGAGTGTTAAATACATTTCTATCATCTAAAAAGACAAAGGTCCATAGCCTCAAAGATAATATCACTATTCAAACCCCTCCGAGTTTTTTTTTCAAGGACAGAACATAAGCACCACAGGAAAATCTTGAAGGCGCTCTAATAGCGGTGCTTATGCGAAAGTATCGATTCACGTTGGATTTGATTGGCTGGAGATTGAATTCATTTGGAGAAACGTTCTCAGGGAGTTCATTCCACATACAAGCATTTCTATAAATCAAAGAGTTCTCAAGAAGTGAACATCGGGGTACCGCTGATACGTACCGCTCTTAGTGGAATCAAATGTGCCAAGTCACTTGAACACCTCCCGTGAAAGTATCTATATAAGAGAGACAAATCTCCAACCTTCCTTCGATCTTCCAGATTATGAAGGTTGCTGAGTCTCCATCAGACGGATGACTCTTTTTTGGATGGAGTCCAGCAGCTTCAGGGTATCCTTAGGGGCGCTACATACATGAGAACAGTACTCCAAAGAAGATCTGATCTGAGCTTTATAAACCATCAAAAGTTGCTGAGGTGTGTAAAGTTTTCTTTTTTTGAAGAAAACCGATGCCTGGGTTTTTGTGGCATTGAATTATTGAACCTATTCACGTTCACCCCAATTAGAAATCACCTCTAGATCCTCATTAGGATATGCAACCTCCTGCTGCCTGGAATACAAATGGAATGACGAGACAAGTGTGCTATCGTCAGCAAATCAATATATTGGATTTTTGGTTTTTTTCCAACGAGAGTTGGAGACAATATGCATTCCTGGGAATCGAGTGATATCCATCGCCGGCCACTCGCAAGGAACCTTTTCTCAGGAAGCTGGAGAGTCATACACAAAAATGATCCGATAAGCCATAGCATCGAAGTTTGGACAGCAAACCCCTATGCCACACACTGTCAAACCTCATAGAAATATCAAGCGCAATAGCTCTTGACTCTCTGTGTTTCTCGATTGCGTTATTCCAAATATGGGTGACATACGATAAAAGGTCGCCTGTTGATTTTTATTTCCAAAAGCCAAATTGATGATCGCTCAAGTTGTTGAAGCTTTCCGAATATTTAATGATATGGTGGTTTACGACTTTCTCCATGATTTTTGATATCACTGATGACTGGTCGATATAAAATCCACAGTTGCACTTACGACTATTATTTATTTCTTCAAAAGCATTGGACATTTGTAAGGTGAAATCACCATGCTTATCTGACCACATAACAGTAAACAATCGGAACTGCTACTCTCAAATTCGGAAAAATTAGAGTGTTTATTTCGCGCAACAATGCCGTCATTTCCTCCGGACGAGTTTCTTATTGGTTGAAACAGACAAACGACACAGGGCAATCGTTTAAGAAATTCAGACTACAGAAGAAGGATTATTCACTATTCTGTGTAACAAATTAGGTACTATGTGAGACACAGAACAGTTCATTGTCGGAGATACTTCGCCTTGTTTCGTACTCAGAAAATAACGGAGGCCACTGAAATTGGCTTTCAGGTTTGGCAAGCCACCTATTTCCAAGAACACTACTTCGACAGCTGTCAAATGGTCTGTATATCGGAAGTCCCTTCAAGGGGAAAAATTATTAAGGAAAAAAGTTGACGTTTTCATCAAAAACACAAACTGAACAAAAACTTTCCAATC